CATGAATGTTTGATGCTTTTACATAAGTATAAGACTCGACATTAACAAAAACACTTGTGTAAACTCTGAGTCTTCTATGACTATAATGGAGAATAAAAAAAATCTGATATGGTTTTCGACACTATTAAGCAAAAAATTAAAAATACAATACATTAGTTCTTATAGTCATTCATTTGTTAGTTGATAGTTATATTAACAAAAAATATTGCCGTATTTTGAAAAATATTATAGAGAGGTAAATTTGCAATTTATTATTTCTCAAATTTATATTGAAACAAAAGCACTCTCTTGACGTTTTTCTCTTTTGAAACGTACGAGCTTAAAACTTTGAATAATTTTTCAAATCCGAAGCAGTAAAATTTACTCTGACTGTAGAATCAAATCAAATCAAATACAAATTAAAGTTATTGAAGCCATTTTAAGGTAACATCGAATAATTATTAAGTTTTAATGAACTGTTTGGGATGTAAAACGCTGCACACCGTGGTGGCAGTTACAATAAAGGGGGTTAAAAATGTTTTGTTGCGGCACCTATTGGTAATGAAAAGCTCAGTTTTGGGTCTACGCTCTTTGAGTTATGCAACACAAGACGTACACCCGGAACGAACGATACGTAAAACACGCATCGTCGGTTAAAACCCGTCGGAAAATGATTGAAGTTGCCAACGTTTTGTATTTTATGGTTACGTTTATAATCAGCCATTGTCTACTTAACAGAGAACCATTAGCCTAAGCTTTTGTAACGTGTGCGTTCCAGTGCATCCATATTCATATGAGCTTTTAAAACAATTGTTCGTTTACGCCTTTGTTATAACAAAATAAATACTGCAGTGCCGGATCGCGATAGTATGGAAACGTCAACTGTCAGACATTCACTTAATTTTTCATCCGTTTTACCGTTCTATAGAGTCACCATCACCAGCGCTATCGCTGTTTATTGCTACATAATTCCATTGCGAACGAATACGTTATGAATTTCCATTTAATTTTTTTTTTTTGGTGAAATACCTAAAATAGTTTTGCGCTGGCTAATTTATTTTAAATAGATTTTACAGCGCACGGAACAAACTTTTCCGCCGTTTTATAAATTTGGTTTCTATAAAACTACAGTCTCCATATCTTCTCAAATAAATTCGCAATAAATTTTTCGTTTTAAAATAACCGTTTCGCAAAGAGAAAAAGTTTTGGCTCTAAATCCCCGAGATTCTATTTCCACTCGAAACGAAATGTTTCCCTAGTTGATAAATTTTCGGTTACTCCTTGAATGTATTCGATTTTTTCATAAAAACAAAACAAATGCTGAGGGTGTAGACTTCGTTCGGAAAATTAGGTCCCTATCCCTGAATACGCAAGTATTTGTTTTTGACTCCTTTGCTTTACGTTCTCAATTTTGTAGATGAGAAAGTAAACCGACAACAGCTATACGAGGTCAAAACGAATTTCTGCTTAACGAGATACGAAAAAATAATTATCAACGAGACTTTATATACACGGTGACAATATTACCTACCTACATACAATATTAATTAGCAAATACAGCATTTGCAGTTATTTTAGCAAAACGTTCATTTTAAAAATGTAAAGATTCGTCGAGATAATCTGATTTTTGTGTTTTATTACAAATCCGGCCATAGAGGCCAATTAATTTAAAAAATGAAGCAAATACAACCTTGTTTTCTGCAATATTCCAGTTTTCTCATTTACAAAAATAATTTTAAATGCTCTACTAATATGATTTAATAAAAATGCGTAAAACAAAACATAAAAGAAAACGCCGAATCAGGTGTATATTCACAGGCACTTATTTCCAAAATTATCACGGCACATTCCTATAAGACATGTTCCGCTGAAACAACTGCAAATGACTTCTGTTAACATGTCCTACTATATGAAGCAGTCACTTTTTACTTTTTTGTTTGTAAACATTACTTCACTCAAATGTTCCCGATGTGCCGCTAAGAAATAAGTATTATTATTATAATTACCATTGATTATCTATGGGTTCAAAGGAGGAGTGCAGATTAGAGTACACACGAAGAATTAATGAAGACGGCTTGGTGAGGTCCTAAACCGATTAATAATAATAAGAAGAACTCTGACACAGATTCCGAAAAAAAATAGTGCAGCAAATTATAAATAATTGTCTAGGAAAAAACATCGAATACGCTGCAACTTCACATATGTACTGCGCGTTCAATTTATCTTGATATCATTTTGATTGGCTGTAACTTAGCTGTAACATAGCATATCATCATTTTCTATATGTTTAACAGAATTTGCCCAACTTTGTGGAGGGATGTTAAAAACTTCGGTTTCCATAAGTTTGAGGACATTGGAGTTAATACGGCGAAAAACATTATTACGACAAATGGCAGATTTCAGTTGGTGCCAAACAAGTTCTTAAGCCTTAAAACTGTATGCCCTAGATTTTTTGCATAATTATCACAGAAGTATTCCTTTTGTAGGTTCAAGCTTTGTAGAACCTCAATTAATTGCTTTTTGGTATAATCTTCGTGAAAATAAATGTCGTTATTATACATGTAGTTATGGATTGTAGCTTTTGTGTCACATGAGGAAGGGGTTGTAGTCAACTGCCTACTGTGATAACTTGCATTGTCCATTACAATGACGCTAATAAGAGGAATGTTTGGAATTAGTTTGTTGTTAAACCAACTTTGAAATAAATCAGCGGTGGTGTCTTCGTGGTAATCCAGAGAAGAATCTTTAATATTTTGCGCAGACTGAGAAAGTCCATTTGGAATCCAACCATCTTTAGAGCCAGCATGCAAAATAGTTATTCTTTTACCTCTTTTTGATGGCGTCATTTTGTATAATTGAGAATCAGTTATTAGGGGTTAAAAATATAAGAAAAATAACAAAATAGGTAAAGTTTGTTCATAGATATAAGAAAGTGACTAACTGATACGAATTAAGGAAAGACCCGGGCAAGCTGTAAGAATGAAATATGACCGAACGGGTCCGTACTTTGCTTAGAATTTAATTATTTGGGGTTTTGTTAGGAAAGATACTAAACAATATTTATTTATTTATGTATTTATGTTTAAATCTAAAATAAAATTACAAATTATTTTTATTACCTACTTAAATTACTTAAAATTATTCACATAATATATCAGTATCACTATCGCTATCATCGCCTGTTCTAATTATTATTTGTTCTATATTATTTGCAACATGGATATAAGATTATTCTGCTTTTTCCAAATGTTTAACAGAATTTGCCCAACTTATTTTTCGCAGACAGGGAAAGTCCGTTTGGAATCCAACGATTTTTAAAGCCAGTATGCCTCTTTTTGATGGCGCGTTTGTTTTACACTTATCAGTTGAGTCAACCCAATCCTTTTCCGGGGTATCATAAGTGTCGAACCAGGTTTCATCCAAGTAAATATTTGGCCTTTGTTGTTCTCTGTAAATCCTAATTTTTTCTAGATATTCCAGTCGTCATTTCCGAATTCTAAAAGACTCCATTAAAACTTGCCTTTTTTTTAAATCTAAAACCCATGTGTCGAATACACGTAAGGTAGTTCTGTCACATTTAAAACCGATTTCATCTTTTTCAAGCCTCCTAATTAAGATATCTAATGTAGGCACGCTTTGTTCCTCGTATAACTGGTAAATTTTACGCCGTATTATATCTTGATCACTTTCATCTACACTCGAGAAAATGTCACCATCGCTCCTTTTTTTTCCTCGCTGAAATGGGATTATTCACAATTTTCCATCCAGTTGATGTTGGAATTTTCGTCAATGTGGCCGTTTGAGAGTCCAATAAACATTGTTTATAACTTCCTTAGTCTCAATAGAATAGTGTTTTCTACATTTGGGCGGGTGCATCTCCTGAGATGCACTAGACTCGCACATATTTTGCATAATTCGCACACGATTCAACACACGCTGTATTACACACGAAATAAGAATGATTACTAATAAACTTAAACTAAGCAGTATACCAAACCAAAGAATATTAAACACAGGTAGGTATAAAATGAATTTCTATTATGGACCACAATTTTACCTGAATTTATATTCCGAAACTTTATGTAATAATCTTGTTGCATTGTATGTTAATGACCACCCTTGGGTTGGCCGCTTTCTTATATCTATGAACAGACCATACTTGTCGTAGTCTTAAGGCTCTTTCATGTTCTTTAAGCCTTAGTTGATGATTTCGTCCAGTCTCTACAATGTATTCTTTGCCGCAACTGGTTTTAATGTTATATTTCTTCAGACATTTTGATGGGAAGTATGGGGTTGCTGTCAAATGTGGAAATTATTAGCGAGAGCAATAGTAAGGTGTTTTACTTTTGGGTTCAGTGACTCGGGTTAAGATAGTTTTACGGCTCTAGAAACAAGAGACTGGAAAACCGATGATTTTAGGAAGTATTACAATAGCCCGTGGAAGTTTCTTTGAAAAAATATTACATATTACATATCTAAAAATGTGTTTTACGAAATGCAGGTCATATGTACCAGTATTTAGAGTAGTAAACGAATTTAAATCTAACTATATCGTTTTGTTGTAATAAAATAAAAATCACCTATATTTGTCCAATACCACGAAAACAAGTGGAATGAAATATAAGAAGTGTAATATAGTTGTAATCAGATTAATGTGCTCTATTAAATGCCCATATAATATACAGAATGTTCCATTTTTAAAAATGTCAAATACCTTAGAAAATTGTTAGCCTTTGTTTCATATGATTTAGAAAAACTGAGCTGCTAACCGTACAATTTGTTTTTTTCTATTTATCTGGATATCTTAAAAACCCAAAAAATTATATCCAATCAAAATGTTGCCAAGATAAATTAAACGCGCGATATATGAAATACACTAGCACCATGCCGCATATATAGTGAATAAAAAACTTTAAAATCTCAACGAGAATAATTATAAAGTTTATTATGTTTGGTTTTGACGTCAGAAAAAGAAATTTGATTCGGTTTCGAGAGGCGACTTAAAAATGTTTTTTTCTCAGTTCATCCGCTCATTCAAGTGCCAAATCAACTAGTGGGAGCACCTGTAAATACCGACGTCTCCCTACAATGTCACGTTGAGGCATCCCCTAAAGCAATTAACTACTGGATCAGAGAAAGTGGTGAGTAGAGTGATGTTTTTTTTGGAGAAGAATCGATAAAGTTTGCGGGACGGTTTTTTCTCGATTGGCTTTTCGAATCGAAGAAGGCCCAAAAAAAAGGCGCGCACCGGAGATGTTTTCGGTTGGTTTTCAAAACATAATGGCGATACGTGAGCTGCAGGGTTGATTGATTAACGGCATTAAAAATAACCCCCCCGGGCATGTTTGAATGAAAAAATCATTAGTAAGTCGGAAGGCATGAAACTGTCCCCATTCCCGGCAGATTCTGGATTGCCTGTGAAATTGCAAGAAATTTGGAATTCCTTCTCGCCTGAATACTGTAAATCCCTCGTTTCAACCACCACGGACGGAAGGATACGCGATATAATCAACGCGTTATTGTACCCCATATCAATTATTTAGCGCGGTATATTTAGTTTTCTGGTTGAATTTGCAATTTACAATTTCGACGAATTTTTATATACACTATATCACTTTTATATAAATCCCTCGACGAGAGAAAATATAATTTATAAGGGATGTTAACAATTATTACTCTTCTTCGTCTCTTGTGTTAAATATTTGTAGCATCCTTATGGCAGCCAAAGTTTTTTTTCATTTACACGACTAGGCAATTAGCTTCCTTTCGAAAATTTAAACACAAAATTTTAATCCAAAAAATATTTAAACATCAGAGCACATGAAATTTGTAACTCCAACGAATAATCTGAACTAAAACATAAATTAAGCCTGTATTTAGCCATTTCTAATTTTAAAGAAGTTTTGTAAATTATGCATTAATAAAAGTAAAATCATAAGAAATTTAAAACCAACCTTTTTTGTTTCCAATCAATAAAAGTGTAGTTTAGAATTCAAACTCCCCCATCCTCTTGTGTACATCAAGGCTGGGGTAAAACAGTCTTTTAACAGTTCACATTTTCATAATTCCATATAACTTTCCCAAAATACTTCGAAATTTACTTAAATTTAGGGCAACGTTTATTAAAATAGGGTAGTTACTTATTTAGGTTGATTTTTATCCAACCACACAAATCAGTTAATTAAAAAGCAACCGATACCTTTTTCCTAAATTAACGTAAATTTAAAAAAAGTTAATTTCAGTCGTAATATTTAATGTCTTAACTCGATATATATTAACCCATATTATACCAAGCATAAAAAAAACTTTTTTTGCACTTAAGAATACATATGTGTAAAAAAAAACTTGAAACATAGAAAAAAATACTGGTGCATAAACGAACCACTGGGAAAAAACATTAAATAATGTTAAATAATGTTTTGGGGCACATAAGATGTAACATCTAATTTATACATAAATATACAAAAGAAAGTTCAAATTCGACAGAAAACAACTAAGAGTAGATTGTTTTCTAAATAGAACCTGATTTGATACGAAAAAAAGCATAATATTTTATGGTAACACCCGGTTTCATTTTTGGTGATATTTTACAAAGCATAAGTATGTAAATGCACATTACACTTATTACAAACGTAAATTGTGTGGCTGTGGCAGATTCTGCATCTCCTTCGGGCTTTATTAGCATGAACAATCATGAGGTGACCTTGATTATCATAACGCACTTCATCTATGGCAGGTGCAAGATTTCTTTGAGTAATTGTTTTATCAGTTTTTAAAAGTAGCAAAGCAATGTAAGATTTAAAATCAAATCAATCACATCGTCATCAAAAAACACAAAAGTATATCAAACGGAGTTTTTCCAGAAAGCCTATTTTTTAGTTCCTCACATGATCTAAATTCATTGGATATAGGTGTGTGAGTGTACTCAATCTGACCTTTCTTCCATTTGACAGTAGAAGTAAGCCTGCGGAAATCATACGTCTTCTTTTAAATTCCAGGGTTTCATCATCTGATGGGTCCCATTCAGGTTCAGTAGTTGATGAATTATAGGACTGTTGAAGGACAGCTGTATCATTCGGTGTATGTAACTCGAAAGTTCCGACTATATCAGTTGGTTCCCCAAATCTTGTAGATTTATATTATCGTTCATATCTTCTTAGTCAGTCAAAGTATCCACGTCGGGTGGAATATAGACCCCGTCAATATGTTCTGCAAATATTTTTTCACGTTATTTTTTGCATAAATTTACAAGGAATGGAATGTTACAATACATAAGAATACGTAAATCCAAATAATACTTACGACATTCATTGTTATTGTCCTCATCCATCGCGATCTCCTCCATAGCCGCCTCTAATTCTTTTTGAGTCAAATACCTTGGAAATGCCATATTTTAGGAACTGTAACGTTCACTGCACAAGGCACAAACTAATACTAAAAAACACGCTAATTGTTGGATGTTTATTCACATGCGCTGACTTGTCTAGACTTGCAATAACAAAGTTTTGTTTCACAGATAAAACCATTGGTATGGCAGGCAATTGCAATACAAATCCAAAATATTTTTTTTTACTATTTTGGATTTACTTGAAAATGTGATACAAATTTATGTACCGCTTTTGTGAACTTTTAAAGTCATATATTTAGTAGTGATAATAACAAAATTTCTAAATGGATGTGCAAAAATATTTCCTGGATGTGACAAAAAAAATCATAAAATAGGTGTTGCATTAACGCACCACTGGGGCAAAATGGGTTAAGAAGGAACTGGCTATACCATTTACTCATCCGGTAGCGATGCGCAAAATGCTGGTTGCTTTACCCATCGGCCAGACAGCCTGATTCAAAATTCACTATTAAGATTTCAGAGACATATTTTTCACTATGCAGTGTTAAAGTTTTAAGATTTATGGTTCCGTTTCCGTTTTATTGTTAATGAAATTAAACACACGTTTTTACATATGCGCACTTTGAAATAATACAAAAATGAATGACTTGACTTGAAATAAATCCTTCTTCTTCTTTTTTCAATATGATTTCCCATATGGGAAATATCCTAGAAAAGGGTCTCCAGATGAAGATATCCAGCATTATTTCCAAAATTTCGGTGGTCTTTCTCTGGTTCTTCTTCCGACTGGTATATTGTTCCTTGCCATTTTTGGTAATCTGTAGTCGTTCATTCTGTTAACGTATTAATTCCATAATTTTCTCCTTGTTTTAACCCATTTGCCAAATCTTTAATTACACTTTGTTCTCTAAGGTTTTCCTTTCTCGCTCTGTTATTTCCACTGTGCACGTCATATAGGTTAGGTTAGGCATAGGTTAATATAGGTCTAACTACGCTTTTATATATCCTTGCTTTGCTTTCAGTGTTTAGATATCTGTTCCTTCATATAATAGGTTATCAAATTTGAAATCAAAAATCAGAAATTATCCACGAAATTTGTGGTTTGATCAAGATTTCTGTGACGAAAGACTCTGCAAATGTGGACTTGGACTTGGTACATGATTTTTGATTTCAAATTTAATGATTTTAACTTGACACTTTATGGCTTGTCTCAGGGTTCTCTCCCTGACTGAAGCAACTAATTGTCTAAGTCTAAACAAGCCATCCGAAAACGTAATGGACTAGTTTCGTAGTCATGAAAACGTTTCATTTTGTGGGGTAACTTTTGCTTTTGGCTTTTGTATTTAACTTAGCTTAGCTTCCTGATGGAAAACGTGAAGTAGCCTTGGTAGATTGTCCTCTTAATCGGCGATATTTTTTTTTATTCTGTATCCCAATATTTTACCCAGTTTTTCCATGGAAAAGAAAAAAACTGAATAAAACCAAAGTAAAATGAAAGTTTAAGACCAACATTTTCCAATTGGTTCGTTAAAAATTGTTATCAAAATATTTTTTTTCTCGATAGCGGTCACAGATGCGAATACATTACAACAGACTAAAAAATCCCTAACCAAATCCGACAATTCATTAAATTCATTTCGTAGAATCTAGCAGAGTATATTCTGCCTCAATATTTATACAAATATCTAAAAAACTGCAACAAGAAAAAGGAAAGATAAGGAAAAACTAAAAAAAACTTAACATAAACATCAGTTGCAGGTTGATTTTTAAATGAGATTAAAACAGACACTAATTAAAATAACGACTATTAAGAAAAAAATAAGTTTTTCCAAAAAAAGTTACTCCACGTGAAATTATTTGGGTGAAAGTTTAATTCCGACAAGTTAAATCCATCTGCATATAATTTGATAAAAATACGGACATCCGGTACACGTACTGTAAAACGGCTCCGGTTCAGCGTAAAACTACAAAACGCTTAAACATAAATCACCAAAAGCTTTATTTATATTTCAAGCGGACATATAAATTCAAGGCGAATAAAGCTTATTCTTTTACTTTATAGGAGAGATGATCATATCGAACGGCAAATATTTTATGACCGAAATCAACAACTCGTACTACAGCGTTCAGATGAAGCTAGTCATACGTCGAATCCAAAAGTCCGACTTGGGTGGGTACAAATGCATCTCGAAAAATTCGATAGGCGACGCTGAGGGTAATATACGTCTCTATGGTAAGCCAAAAATGACAATTCCAATCGGAACCGACGTCAATAAAATGAAATTGATTTCTTCTTCGCACCGGATCGTTCAAATGCAACCAAAAATAGTTTTATTTTTCTTCCCATTCGATATATCGGCATTATTAAAACCAAATCTAAACGACCAGCATTAAAATCACGAAGACTCTACGAAATAAAAGAAGCAAGCAAAAATCCGGAAAAATATTCGACCCACACAATATTTTTTTTATTTCAAATCATTTATTCGAAGTTAATTAGTTTTGTTTCGAATTGTTATCCCCGTTTTTCCATTTCCGTTCTTATATTTACGTCAATATCTTCATTTTTGAAACACTTACATTCTCTACTAATTTCCATTGTACGAAGAACTAAATAAGTAAAATAAATGACAACATTTAATATTGAGTTTATTGTTAGTTTTCATTAAATTAGTGTCGTTTCTTGATTTTAGCTGAAAACATTATTACATTGCTAGGCGGAAATTAATAACATATTGTTAAACAAGTCAATAGATAATATTTTTTTAAAAAAATCGTAAAGAAAACCAATAACAAACATAACAAAGATTAAATAAGAAATATATACATTTCCGATCAAAACGTATCAAAACCATGGGTGGACATGAGGCAGATAAAACAAGAGAAGAACAGAATTTCCTTCTCAAAAAGCGAAAAACCTGGATTGTAATGGGATTTAATTCAATTAACTTTATTCCGCCCAGTTATTTATTAGCAATTACGTACGATAATTACAAACGAATTCAAATAAAATCGTTTTTGTTTACAGAAATGGAAATCCAAGATAGGGTGGATTCTGAAGAATACGAAACGGAAATTTCGAACGAGTCGGAAAACAGTGAAAAACGTCTTTACAACGGCTTCCAGGGACCCCTGGCGGAGATCGACGACAACAAGAATTTGTTGCTGAACGTTACATGGTCCAACGGATCCGGATCCGGCACGATCGGCCTTCAAAGACTGTTCCTCGTCATGTTTTTAGTACTGCTTCACACTGTGGTGCGATTTTCGCGAGGACACGCCCCGTACTGTTAAGTGATATGTGCCAAATTTACTTGTGCTTCGCTAAACGCTGCTGAGTGTTTGTATTATAATATTTGAATAAAGAAAAAGTTGTAAAGTCTTTACGAGTACGTTATCTCGCGATGTGAAGTATAATATACGGATTTCTTTAACGAATATTGAATACTTTTCACTGTTTCCAATATATACAGGTTGCTCATTGCCTCCAAGTTCAAGTTCCCTTCCCTCAAAAAGTAGCAGATGTATACTAATTTTTAACGTCAACGCTTGCTGAGGATCTGTCGCAAAGACAGTACCAACCTAAAAATTTCGAACGGAAGAGGGAATTATTATTAAAGCGTGTTATAGAAGAAATGCTGCTTACTTATAAGAAAAGATTAAAAACTCAAAATCGATCAAAACCATTTTTCCATTTTACGCCCTGTATATAATTGAAACGGCGCTGCTTCACTTGGCGAGAAAAGTATAACCGAATAACTTATATACGTAGCAAAATAACGAAATAAATGTTTAAAATTCGTCGCTATGGTAGTTGCCGTATGTCGATTGTTTTCATTACGTTGACAAAATTAGTGGTTATAAGTTTTGTTATTTATCATTGAACGGCAAATAAATTTTATTTTCAAGACAAATTGTTTGTATATATACACATTCGCATATGAATAAATTAATCGCTGAATTAAGGACTTTATAATTTGCCCCATACTCTCTACCATTTGCTATGCGTATTTTATATCAAAGAAAATCGCACCTAGCTAATGTGTTCCGAATTTTAATAAGGTCCCGTGAGTTTATCATACAAAGGACATCAGACGCCAGGAAATATTACCGAACTTTAAATTGGATTGTCACTCTGGAAACACACGTTCAGGTTCGAAACTTTTGACAGCGCATTATAATAAATATTTAATTTCTTGAAAAATATTTTCGATTTTATCAAGCGTGACGAATGCGCCGGAATAAATTCTCTGCATCCGAAAACGACCGACTTCTATGTTTATCTTTTCTACTACGTGAATAAATACAAACTCGTAATCACAATACCAATTCGAAAACTATCAGTTATCTAAAACCATCAAATTAATACATAATTTACTGATCGTTAAGTTTCCATCACAAAAACTCGAAAATAATCATAACAAAGAGAGGCAGACCTGGACAACGCTGTTTTTTGCCGCAAAAAAACTGAATACATTAACCGGACGATGCTGAAGTGAGTTTTCACCGATTAAATTGTTATAGAGAGTGCGGCGTAGAAGTCATTTTGACAGGTGAGTAACTAATTGACTTAAATGGTAGTCGGCTCGGACTAAATTAAGTATGCGCTGATTATCTTCCCACTAGAATACGCGAACGATATGGGAAATAACAAATAAAAAAGTAATTTATTTATTAGCCGGCTCGTTATCAATTATTGAGGTAAAAAAATGCGGTAGGTGTGAATTAAATTGGCCGAGTGGGCGCCGACTGTAATTGTAGCATTTACACGGGTTTCTTATTTATTAGTATTAAATAAATATTTTCGCTTAACCTACCAGATGAAACCTCTCGAGCCCCCACCGACTTTATTATAGATATTTGCAAAAAAGTAACATCAAGACGAACCGAAAAGGTGTAAAACAATAGATTAAACGTAAACATAATCGTTTTGGACAATTACGGTCGACAAAAATGCATTTAAACCCACAACAATGATCGCACCGAGTGGCCGTTTGTAAAATTTAAATGGCAAAAGCGTACAACGTGCGTATAAAATAGTTTGGCGAAATATCTTTTATTATTATAATTAATATTCCGATACTTTTCATGTGGGCTGTACAGGTGGGTAGCGGGAAGCGGGATTATTTTGCTGTATAACAAACAACCGCGACAAACTTGCCGAAGACTTTTGATAGTTAACAATTAATGTGCAGTGGTTATGGTTCTTTGGTAGAGTCGAACTGTATCGAAAATGATTACAGACTCTGTGATTAAGTGAACAATGGTAAATTTAATTTTCGCGTGGGTGACTGATTCGTTCGTTTATTATTTTAAAGCAATATCGGGTCAAATCAGCCTTCGGCCAAGAATATTTTCTTTAAATATGACAGTTAAACATTTAATAAAGAATTGTTTAGCGGTTTGATTTAAATATATGTACATATCGTCAACTTTGCGAATTGCCAAATTTACAATGGGTTGTTTTTTTATTTAAGAAACCATGAAGCGACTTTTCAAAAGGCGCAGCTCTGATCCGAATCCTCAGCTAGAGAGCCTATCGACTCTTTCAGAAAATGATGGTACTCAGACAACTAAAACCCGCGTTCCCAGCACCGAGAGTGTTGGACCTTCCAAACCGAGTGAGTAAACATAACATTTCCAATTTTTCTCATTAATATTTAATTAATAAATTCGCATCATTCAGATTAAAAATTAATTATAATTATAATTCAAAATAAATGTTAACATAACGTACATAATAATATTATACATATGTTAATGAGCAGTACTAAAGCAATATTTATTACTTACTTATACAGTCACAGTTGAGTTCCTGTTAATCACAATCGAGATAAAGTCACGATGGCGATATTTTAGACTAAAACAATTTTTCAAATAACGCTAACAAACACCTTATGAGTTTGTAATCTGTCTGTAATGATCAAAAATTCCCTTAGCTCTACTTTGAATTTTTTATCATCTACAGTATTTTGTAAGTTTTCTGGGTAAGTAGTTGAAAACATTGGGGGTCAGAAGCATAAATGATCCTTGTTTGACGGTTTTTTTGCTGACTGAGACCACTACACCATCATTTTTATGTCGGGTATTCTGTTGATGTGTGATATTTTCAAGTTTTTTTCTTCTGTTAATGGATAACAGGGCGCTATTGAAGTAAAGTTGACGGGTGTCTGGTATTCTGGTTTCATTATATAAAATGTGAGTAGGGTAAAACCGATTTTTATTAAATATTAATTTGAGCAACCTACTTTTGCAAAAGATTTAAAAAATGAATATTAAATGAAAGCTTTCACGAAAAATTTTAAAATCTAGCTCATTTTGAACACTATGGTGAATGCGCAAGTTACCCGGGCTAAATATTACCATATATTTAAAATGACTTCGTTAACGACGTACAAGGAGTGAACGGCTGTTTAATTAAACAAATTTAAAATTACAATATAATTCTATGTGGTTCATTCCAGATCTTTCAACTTGGGGAAAAGCTTGGGAAAAATTAAAGCGCGGCGATTCTGCGGAATCGTTACCGGGCAATTCGAAACGTCGTCATTGCTCGCCGCTTAAGAAACAAACCAACGATTCGGCATTAGCCGATTCGAAAGGAGACATGACGTTTTCCGAAATCGACGTTAAAAAGGTGTACGACATGTACAGGAACACTAACAACGCTAATCCTACTAAGAAAACTGATAAGTCTTTCAAATCGCGTAAATCTAAATGCGTCTCCGATAATATAGAGTTAAGTCAGCAGCAGTTCTTAGATTACTTGCTTCTGATGAAACCGAATTCGGAAAATTTGGACAAGATCTTCGATGACGACAAAGTAACCGCGTCGCAGAAACTTTCCAGTTTAAGTGAGGAAAAGATCCCGCGAAGATCGCGATTGAGGTCATTTTTCTCCAAACGATCTTCAAGCAAATCAGACGACGAAGCCGATATCAGCTACAAAAGTAATCAAAAATCTTCTTCCACTGATAGTTTGACGGGGTTGCTCAACTATATTATCCCCAAACGGTTAACCAGGTCTCCGAAAGTCAAACCCAAATTTCAATGCGACGAAAGCGGTTATGGCAGCGACTCTACCAAAGCAGCCAGCATCGATTCACCGATAGGATCGATAAAATCACAAACCAGTAACACTACGGATTCAGATCTGGATAAAACGTTGGAGAACAAATTTTACAATGAAGACACGGATACAGCTGACGAGGACTGCGAAACGACTTATAATTTTAGCAAATTTTACGCTAGAAGCCCGACAAAAAATTACTCGGCCAAGAAACGACCCAGATCTCAATCCAGGGAGGACGAGGAAGCAGAGTTAAGAATGAAAAGACCGAGTGTAAGACTGAAGCGATCACCAAGCAAAGCCGAGAAGCTGAAGATGTCAATCGAAGACCTCAGCCAAACATGTTACGACAAATTTAGGAACCTCAAACTGAATAACGAATACACTTGCGAAACCACACAGAAAATAGAGACAGGCAGCGTGCTAGATAAGGAATATAAATGCGTGAGGTTAAGGATGGCTGATAATGACGTGGTTGGTATTAAAATATCCCCTAACTATGGACGAAATTCGACTTCTACCTACACGATTTCGGAAATTCTCCCCAATTCAGCAGCAATTAGGTAAGAAAAGTGATAAGGTAATACGTAAGACCTTTCTTTTGATTTTCCTTTGCCCGGGGAAGTCGGAAGTCACTGAAATTGAATTTAATTGTAAACTATTGTAATAATAATTTCATAAATATTAAATATTAAAAAACAAAAAACATAAACTTATATATACTTCGGGATACCTATAAGGCGTCACTTTCGATTAGATAGATATAAAAAACTATAACAACCATTAACAGCGACACGATGTAACTTGGCAGTAGAAAGCAATTGATAAACCTATACAACTTTTTCCTTGTGATAATTTTGCTTTTGCTAAAATGTATAAAGGAAATCTACCAGCACCAGATTCGGCATTAAAATTACGTACAATGTTGTTGCAGGAATAGTAATTTGGAAATTGGAGATGAAATCGTGAAAATAAACGGAATTAGAATGAGAGGATTGCCCTACTCCTCGGTACTAAACCACTTGGTGCCGATTCGTGGTGAAATGGAACTGGTAATCTCGCGCCTGCCCCCTCAGCCAGCCAAGCCGAAAAAGAGGAACAACTCCTTTACGTCTTTTTTGACAAGGGGCGGCACAAGAATATCGAAAAAAGACAAAAAAGAAAATCGGGCAGTCGGAAAAACCAGCTCCGAGTGCAAAATACCAAAATCGGTGGGACTTTCCGACATACTGAACGACAGAGAAACTAAGTTATCGTTCAATGAAAAACCTGACCCTATCAGGAATAATATTGGTTTAAGTACCAGTGACAATAACGCTAATCGCGTGGGGATGAGAAAATTTTCGATATCTTCGCTAGCTTCTACTCGCCCCATTGGTAAACCGATCCAGATACCAACGACGCGGGTTAAAATGGGGGACAAAACTCTGACGTTCTTGAAAGGCCCCGGCCAAAAATCCCTAGGCTTCTCTATAGTTGGAGGAAAAGACTCTCCTAGAGGTCCAATGGGGATATATGTGAAAACCATTTTTAAACAGGGACAAGCAGCTGATTCGGGAATTTTAAAAGAAGGTAAACCACCCCCTAATCTATATCGAAAAATTATCGCCGACAAAATAATTTTTCTAATTGCAGGTGACGAATTGTTATCCATTAATGACCATTCTTTCCAAGGCTTGTCGCATTTGGAAGCGGTGGCACTGTTTAAAAACATAAAATTCGGTACAGTAACTATGGAAGTAGCGAGTAGGCATCCGTTTAAACTTTTTTCTAATTCTCTATAGTTTATATTTATTACTAATGTGTATTTTCGAATATTATTTGAAATGCGTTAACCGACAGGTGCGATATTTAATTAATTAACGGAATATTGTTAATCAACACGGGATAATAAAAATTTAATAGAACAAAAACAAGAGAAAAGAAAAAATAAGTTATTTTTTTGAATTATTTCATTGAGAATCATAAATCTTATTTAGGGCGTAAATTTTCTTAAGGTTTAATATTTGAATTGTCTTTTGAGTGTTGCCTTTAATTTTGTTAGATTCTTGTTTTAGGAATTTTTAATATTCAGACTACTACAAACAGAAAGTTCCTAATACTGAATAATTTATAATTAAACCAGTGCAAATTCGATATTGGTTTTCTCAGTTGTAGAATTTTCGCGTAAAATTTCACAATTCTAAACGGCCCACCTGCTTCTTCTGACAAATTTAAATGACGATTCATATAAAAAAAATATGAAATATATTTGTACATAGTCGACCGGTTTAACTTCGATCTAACCTATTTTTAGGTTTTGGTATCAATAACGATTAACTAATTGCAAAATAATAAACGATGACAATAAAGTTCTTCTGTTGTCTGTATTTTGCAACAGAACAACCGCAAATAGTTTCAACTGGAGAATTTTATTAACACTTAATACTAGGTTCCCTAAATATTAAAATTAAAAATCGATGCATTTTTTAAACTTCTTACATATCCGAGTCCACGTCAAGGAAATAAAATAAAGTTCATGGGTCTCGAGCATGTTGACGAGAGATAACCACGCATTTCCAAGATGTGAGAGGCCTATTTACTCAAAAATACTTTGACATTCAAAAGCGTCGTACCAAAATATCTGCATATTTCAAATTCTCGCAAACGTTTCTCATTCAGCGAACGAAAATAACGAAGGTTTCAGATGGCAATTCGCGGAGCAAATACGACCTTCCAAATAACCTTTTTTAACGTTCAATGCATCCCGATTGTTAAAAAAAGTTCTAACTTCATTAAATTTAACATCCCAAGCTTTCAAAATGTACTTACTAATTATATATACAAGTTTACTTATATTCAGTATAGTACTAATATAAAGTTTTGGGCATTCTGTATGGGATTCGACACGCTTTGAAATGGTTCTCGAAAATATTTTTAGGGATTTGAAGTTAAGAGTGTACCGAATTAAAATTATTCCTGAGTGTGAAAACTTTACGGCTTTTATGTTCAAATTGTTCGTTCGTTCGTATATAATTATAAATTTTCATGTATATATAGTTTGTAAATTCGGAGTTTTTGTTTAATTTTCGCATTGCAATTTTTGTAAATTACAAACACCATAAACGTTTAATAAACCACCTAAACTAACGCCGGTCTTTATTTTGCCATTTCCTTTTCTCCGACAAAAGAATTACTGTAGTACTTTTAAAGCTGTCGCAAACTCGAGTGATGACATCAAAGATGGTTAAGTTATGCCAATCACAATTATACTAAACTTCCTGTCGACGAACAATTTTAAACAAAAACAGTTAGGAAGTATGCGTTTTAAATCAAATATACCATGGATACTCTCGTATTGCACTTTAAATAAATGGGATTACTTGTCGGACTGGATTTGTGGTATGTTTCCTTCATCGCCATATTTAGTATAATGTTGTTAAGATGAACAAATTCAAAAGCGAGGAGAAAACGCGCCATCAATTATCAACAGTCTATTACGGTCAGGCAGGTAACTTTTACAAGACATCCCATCGAGTTGCCAAGGTCTTTTACGGCACATGGGGTGGCTGAGGTTGACTATTTTTATTGCCCTTTTAACAATTCCTCTCCATCGATGTTCATAACGAAATACTTAACACCTTGAACTATGAAAAATACTCCTTAGTACGTTTTACGAAAAACATTGTAATACCAATCCTCTTGTCCCATATATGGTAGTGGGTTAGACTACACTAACTGATATACCGGGACCTAACAAATTGTTGCAAATAGCACATTCCAATTTTTTTAAATAATACTTTTGCGTAGAACAAGTAAACAATGTTAGTAGGATTAATAAAGAAAAAAAATCAGCGATGGGTAACAAATTTCAGAAAATAATGAATGCACAAAATACAATTTTCCATAAAATTTTGAAAACCAATCAAACGTCCCGTTAAATTCTCTTGACATTTCCAATCTTGAAGCGGGCTTTAAAAATGCCCTAGAAAAATATTATATTGGATGTGACATTTTATTATCTGAATTCAGTTCACACGAACAAAAGAAAATTGTTCGTCACAAAACGACGAAAAATTAAAAATATTAGAAAAAAAGTTTTGAGCACAAAACTATGAGTGAGAAGCTAGCTAACACTCACACCAAAAAGAAAAGAATTAAATGGTTTTCTGGTTTTATTGACTAAAACTTTTATCCCCAATCCAAACAACTTCTATTGCATCGTCGTTTGCCTTTTTCCCTATATTTGTGTTAAAATGAAAGGTCGAAAGCTGTGCTAGGGGGGATTCTAATTTATGACCCAGGCAAGCACTTATCGACCAGGCTCTGTATAACGCCTGCGGGATACCGTTAGCAGTAGATTTTACCATTACGGATCTGAGTTACTGTTTACGCTCAGTCAGCATATCGTCGAGTCTTCCGAGTGTATTTCAACAAATAGGTCCCAGTCTGCAGTGGTGTTTATATTTCTATGTGTTCGAAGGCCTTATTTCATGATTTTTCTGATATCGGTAAGCCAATTTTTTTCACTAATATTAGACCCATTAAGTGTCATCGTTTAGTGTCTTTCAAAAATTTAATATATACCGCCAAGCGCATTTTGGACGTTCAAATTTAATAAATACATTGAACTGTGACTAATTCAGTAAATATTTATATAAAGACTGATAAAAATCGCGTCCATTTGAACCCAAATGAAGACGGTACATATTTTGGCTCGTTAATAAATAACTGACTAATATTTATTTTGTACGACACAGAATGCGCGGGTGTACATGTTATAACCTTGTCGAAACAATTATCATTCAAAATAATCGTCTTTATTTTTATTATTGTGTGTGGTTTTCCTGTACACTATTCGTCATCGCGAAGGATTGGTATAATTTATTTAAATTCGATTCACGTAATTTTTTTTTAATTTCAGGGATGCCTGAAGAACACATCAGTCTCAAAACTGGTAAAAATCACGACTTTTATAGATAATTTTTGAGGTTTGTTCGAAATATTGCCAAAACCGTGTGCGAAGCTGTATAAATAATATAAACATTAAAATATTTTTTCTAACAATTTAATTGGTATCTAATTCTCTTGCGAACTCTTACTTCCATTTCGTTGCCAATCGTTGGCAATATCCTGACGACGCATTTCCGATAAATAAATTATATATAAATATATATAAAAATTCGCGGTTACTAAACGCTACTGTGGATATTTAATTGGTGCTATGTCCCCCATAATTGCGTATGAGTAATACGTCTTCATATTGGCTAGATTAACGCAGTAATTCACCGTTAGTAAATAATTTTCAAGCTCTTCCTTAAGTGCTACCATCAACGCATAACTTAATTTAATTTTTTCAAGCCCCAATGCAGAAAATACCGTAGCCTAACAAATTTATGTTTTTTATTTACAGTTTTATGACTACGCTAAGCTTTTATTTTGGTTATTTCGACCTCGAAAAAGGTCCCAATTAAAAATGGCCATCCGCGTGCAATATATTTGGCAATTTACATAAATTTCAATTGGAATTTGTTTGCATTTCGCATTCCATTACGATTATTACTTATCTTAAAGGCACAACCGGGTCGCGATATTTTTAACCGCACTTTTTCAATAAGATAAATGTAACATCAAATCTTCGATCGTCAATACTCAAATTGAGATTTCCTCGCTCATAAAATAAAACCCTGCAAAGTGGTGCGAAACGAGTCTCAAAATAATGATATTAATTAATTGAAGTTTAATTCTAGAAGCTGTTATTTTTGTACAGCTGAATCTGTTTTTGGGATATCGACATATAAAACTTATAATCGGGAGGTCAATATCAATGTCAATATGTCAATATTGCCAAGTGTGTGTATAATTTATTGTAAATAATCTTTTTTTTATTAAATTACGAAAAGAATATCAATATAGGGATAGAAGACCCAATTTTATTTATGGTTAAAAAAAATTACTGTTTAACGAACTGAAACTGAAAGCAAGCAGCTAAATGAATAAATTAAAATTTTAATTTCTTTTTTATTAAGAGCTTATTAATTTAAGTGATTTTGAAAATTTTGACATTTCAGTTATTTAAAAAATTGTGTATTGTTTTTATATAATATCATTATGAATGTTAGTTTAAATTTAAGCTCTAGTGTTTCTTCCCTTTCAAAATAAACGTTAGGCCATTGAATGATCTTTAGTAAATTGTTTTTTTTTAACATTACTAGATTATTTGCACTTTCCCGTTCTCTCTGCAAATATAGTCTTATAACAATTATCAGGGTACGCATGATTTTTCAAATTAATATAAAAAAAATTAGTGTCGTTACAATTATGTTATTATTACAATTTGCTGGCTTTGTAATATGCTGTTAACTTAATTTTAAACTATGTATTTTCTAATTTGCATTGAATAAAGAACGATCTATCTATTAATTCGTCTATCTATCTATTCAATAGAATATTACAGTACCGATATCTTGAAAATAATGTGTTCTTCGACGTGAATAATTTAAAATAAAAAAAATGGAACAGATTGCGTTTTGGCCCATTCATTGCAATCCACCCTGTATCGTGGCAACGGCCTATAAGCTCGAGCGGTTGTGGTTCTACATGAAACAAAATCGTGTGAAACAGGAAACACTGCGAGATAATTCCGCGTAATTAAAGAATGAGACGGGTGGATTTCGCATCGAAAGAATCGGTCGTACGGAAGATTCTCTACGTAAATTATTCTTTGCAGATTTAAATGGCAGCATATCGCAGAAATGGAAAAAATTACGCCAGTGCTGTTCGTCGCTGCGAGGCGTCACTTTTCATAATTCCGAACCGTCAAAAAGTGCTTTGCTCGAACAATCTAGTCCGCATATCCTAGTCAGCACACCCCATACCACTTCGTCTCTTCGCATCCCTAGTAGTACCAAAAAAAATAGCGTCCAGGAAGTTTTACGAGCGAAATTTAGCCAAATACACGTAGGGTTAAGAAGAAGACGTGCCTTATCCGTCCAGGAATTTTTCCAACCTCCTGGAAACGGTCCGGAACAACCAAAGACTGCCTTTTACGTACCCTCGCCTACATCTACAACGCCGCCACGGAAATCACCTTCTTTTCAATCCGCATCAGAAAGAAAACCCAGGCCTAGGCAAAGGGCGTCCTTAAATTTAAGGTAAAATTTTACTCGTATAAGACTCCATAATTTGATATGTACAAAAAATAACTTGCTTAAAATTACTGAACTGATGCGATAAAGTCGAATTTCCAGACAATTTTAGAAACAGTTTTTCAAAAATTGAAATTTCAGTATTTTATTTTACAGTTTTTTCCCAAAAAGAGCTATTTGACGAATGTAAATAGTTCAAAAGGAAGTATCAACATCGAAATCGCCCTGTATATGTATTTGCGTTTTAAAATCATTGGCTCAACTAGGTCTAATTGCGTAGTACAAAAAATGCAAAATTATTAGCGTTAAAAACGAGCAGTCGCACAGGTCGCCATTTTCTAAGTATTTAAACGTTATTAGGTACGCTAATTTTCACTAATTGCGACGTGTACCGTGGCAACATAAAAATGATTTAATGTACGCCTATATCGATAGTTTTACTACTCTCGCTTGAGGATGACCGACTATTCTGGCTGAATATGAACATTTTAATTAGGGTGTTTTAAATACGGATAGTTCGCCGCCTAACATATAAGTATTCCTTTATCTAATAGCCCGTTAAATACAAATATGGGGGTTTTAAACCCAATGGCAACCGCTATATTGTTTCTCGGCTATGTCGTTTTATATATTCCCACTATATGCCCAGCATCGTGACAATCGGTTCCGTTTACGTTCTTTGTATTTTAAATTCTACAGAAATTCCTCTACCATCATTGCACGTGATTGAAGATCGTCCGATTGTAACATTTTCAAAGAAAACGCGTAAATTTCGCTTTTTTCTTGTTTCGTATATTTTCTAACGCGTTTGATTAAGCTTTAATCACAGGTTATTAAAAACAATTTGGACAATCAATATCTGAATATAAAAATTATCCAGTTCTATTTGGTATAGAACAATCAGTTGTCGATTATTAATAAACCATCACTAATTCAAAATAATAAGATTTTATACTAGCAAAAAGGCGACTCCGTAATGAGATCGAATTATTTAAAGTTTAACATAAAGCTGCATAATTATTTTTATTTGAATGGGCGTTAATTGTGAGTTTAACATAAAGCTGCATAATTATTTTTATTTGAATGGGCGTTAATTGTGATTTTGGATCATGTGGTATTTAGTTGTCCAGATAGTGACATAAAATATTATTACTTGGTCGATTTCTTACATTCAACCCCACTTGAAGCCAAACAAATAAACGTTTCGTTTTGGGAGTCATTGAGTAAATTAATAAATGCAAATTTTACAGCTTGGCAAGCAACGAATATGCCAGTCATTATTATTACGAACCGCCTCCCGACTATGACGAAGATAATAATCTTCAGCGGCACAGGAGATGGTCCGTGGCTATTAATAATCTACCGGAGCAGTCACCGAGAACTAAGTTAAGCCACTTAGAAAACGTGAGCATAAAAATACCGAAAACAAAGCTCAACAACACCAAACATCACCTAGACCGGGCAAGGTCACAGTCGCCCAACTGGAACAAAAAACATGCTGAATCCATTAGGGCGGAAAATAACGCCGGGTTTAATTCCCAAGTAACCGACTCCAAAAGCTATTACGAATTATCGGGTGTCAGACAAAAACCGGAAGTGAAACCGGACGGTAAACTCGAACGTGAGCAACAGGTAAGCAATGTTTATTTCTCCGTGGAAAATACAGAACACTGATTGTTAAGCCGTTGTTTTGTTGTACTGAATGTGACACTATTGGAAACAAGTTTGCAACGACCTACATATAGCCTATACGAAGTCAACTGGAATATCGCAAAATCACCCCTTAACCAGAATTAATAATATCGAAATAGTTGCATAAAAATTATTGCCAGAATTAAGTGCGTATTTATCAGCCAAGAATAAGTCTGATATTTTATACAAGCTTGTGTCATAACGTGCTTCGTTTTCGAGATACTGGGCGTCAACGTTTAGATAAACAATCCTTTATTAGTTACACAAAAATCTGTTTTTTCTGACTTAACAACACCTTAAGATCGTGCAATCAAACATAAAACTTTCTTGATCTTTCCGTTTTTTTTGTGTATATATGTTCCTGGACTTTCTGAAGTAATATGTGTTTTATTAATTGCTCAAAACCCATAAAAAAAATTTTTGTAAGTAAATTTTCGGAAGTACTTGTGATTATTATTAGTTGATTTGGTACAGATGCATAAAGTAAAATGCCGAATTTCAATTTTTGTTTAAACGAAGCTAGTCACAAAATATTAGGAACATAGCATAATTTTACTAATAAATATCAATTAAATCGCCTTCTAGGGCGCCGCTAAAAAGAAAAATTTTATTTTCATTGCACAAAATGATGACAAATAAACGTTTTTTTTGTAAAAACTTTGACTTCCTGAATAAACATTCTTAGACATTATAAGACCTATTTTTGGCTGATAATGCCTTCAAAATCGTTGTATCGCATTTTCAAAGACCCAGTGCATAGGTTAACAGGGTGTTCCTTAATGATATCTCCATACTGAACGGTACAATTGTTAAGCTTATTTAAAGAAAAAGAAATGATTTAACGTCTTAACTTTTGAGATACTGTCCAACTGACACACAATCACAGGACAATATACAATAAAAATATTATTTTATTATTATATTATAAGAAAAAGATTCGCCTGAAAAAATTTATTTCCTTTCTTCAAAAATATGAGATAAAAATTGCGGGCGGACTCCAAAAATCAGAAAAATATTTAGAGTCCAGATAATATTTAAAATAATCTTTCCTGAAGGAAGATGTTCCTCAAAAGTTAAGACGTTTAGGAAATACGTTTTTATGAGGTTTTTTTAAAACACTAAAACATTATTAACAAGCACCTTCTTTCGTTCAACCTTTCAACATCTTTTACAAAGAATCTAGAATAGGAAACAATAATTAAAATTGTTGGAAACCATACTTTGTCAATCTAAAAATAATTATTTATTTCCCATAATTTATTTACATACTCTCTCTCTCTCTCTCTCTCTCTCTCTCTCTCTTTTATAATCCTAATTATACTTAATTTTTAGTTTCAATTCTCCAAATTAATATAAATATTAAATAGAAGTTCTCGGCTGATAATAAACGCTAAAATAATTTCACTGTAGCAACTTATTCTAACGTAAGAAAATGACACAATTTATTTTTAATTTTTCTCCGAGATTATAAAACTCGGATTTTTTAAACAAAACGTAACTGTCCTCAATACAACCCTTGACTAGTGATAAACACAGTCACACAGTAATTGAAGCCATAATGTTAGAAAGTGAAGTGAAACCTACGACTTAACGTAAACCAATGGTAAAATTCTCATTTCAACTCAACTAACCCCAATTCAAATTTTATGGTTACGTACCCGATTTATTTAAGATTAGAGTAAGAAATGATTTTCCGTACTGTTCTGGTATAAAATTAAACATATGTAGCCGAAGTACTTGGTATACCGGGGATATTTCCATTTTAAGGCCATATGCTTATTGTCTCACAGCATCATAAAATTCTATTTCAAACCCAGTTTAGCATGATTTTAGGTTGATTCAAGTTTCAAGGCACAAACTGAACTTCAATCTCGATCAGTAAGCTACAGGAGGTCAAAATTTATTTATTTTTCTCTAATAATTAAAATATCTCGATCACTTTTAAAGCTATCAATTTGAAATTTGGTGTGGTTAATACTTGTTAGAAGATGGCCTTTTTGAAATATTTTAAAGACTTTTAAAATCTACAGGGTGGTATGTTATGGGGGTAAAGTAGGGGGTAGGTTCATTATACCTTAACTTAAATTTTATTATTGGGCAAAATTTAAGCGAAACACAGGCAAAATAACATATTTGAGGACTGACATGCCTATTTACCTCAAAATTTAAAGGCAAAAAACCATCTAAATTTAAGAAACCACCCGGTGTGGTAACTGGTAACTACGAAAGTTTAGGGGAAATAAAGAAGCCTAAAAATCCTTCTAGAAAGTATTACCCACACCAAATTTCAAATTGAAAAAGATATTTTAATTTATAGAAAAAAGTAACTAAACTTTGATCCCCTGGAGTTCCGCAACTGATCGAGATCGAAGTCATGTTTATATAGACTTGTTTGAATTTGTGGTTTAAAGCCTGAATCGTCCTGTAGATATCCGGTACAAGGGATGTTTTTTTAAGCGTGTGGGTGTAACGTGATACTTTCAAACCGACGGAAACATTAATGTCTGTAAATAAATCACAGTAAAATTTAAACATTTATATACCGAGAAGGAAACCTTATTAACCAAATTGAAAACAAATATTCATTTAATTATAATTTACTCTTCTGATTTTTTTTCGCTGAGTAATGGTTTGTTTTTATTTTAAAAAATATACTTTTTTTGACAAATCGTTTGGAAATATTTGATTGGCAATTTAAAAAAAACCCTGAATTGTAGGACTCGATCGAAGAATTAGAAGAAATAGAAGAAGAAGAAAGCAAATTTTGTACATTGCCGCGGGGAGGCAATACGTTCACGATACGGCAAGTCATGTTCCAGAAGGGTGCGGAATTCAAACCGCTAGGGTTCAGTATTGTCGGAGGTAGGGATTCACCGAAGGGTAGTATTGGAATATACGTCAAAACCATATTTCCCAACGGGCAGGCGGCGGAAAATGGCAGCTTGAAAGAAGGCAATAACACATACTGTGCTATAGAAACAATTTCTGATGTTTTGTGAATTTTAGGTGATGAAATTTTGGCAGTAAACAGCAAACCCCTTCATGGAGCATCTCATAAAGAAGCTATAAATGTATTCAAACAAATCCGATCAGGCTCCGTATTACTTCACATAGGGAGAAGAATTCTTAAAAAGCAGCGCGAAAGACTAAATTAATAATGTAGGATTACGTTTTTTTTTTTTTTTTTGTAAATCTTAACTCTCTATACCAAAGACATTTTTACCAATTTAATAAGAAGTTTCAATATTAATTTAATTAGCGTTTAATTTGACTTTACATGTGTTACTTGCGTATATCACCCATAAAGAAACAATAGTAATATTTAAAAACTATATACATTGTACGAATTTGATTACTAACAGATGATACCGGTAAAAAAATCCACCCGTTATTTATAATAACTCAATATTATTTCAAAGTTAAAATTGGTGGATATTATTAATATAATCAGTTATTCTAGTATAATGTGATACAAATTATTTTATATGTTTTTTAATAAATTATACATAATTTCTACGCATTTTTATTTTGCACAACAGAATCAATTCCAAATAAAAATTAAAAAAAATAAAAATAATAAATAAATAAAAGACAAACTAAATGCATTACGCGCAAGTAAATTGCTGATTGTCTAATGAGACAAAGATTAGAACGCAGAAAAAAGGAAAAGATTAGCGAAATAAATATCCGCCGCTATTTATTAATAATTAAGGCGATTTCAAGTCTGAATTAAATGGAAATTACCTGTTATCAGGAAATTAAAAATATTTTATTTTCAAAGCGTTCAGGTAAGGCTGAATGCGTCCCTGCAGAGGTTTTGAGCAGACAACTGCAAATCGACGTTTCCATCGCTTCTATACTCATAGATGGCATATGGCACTAATTGCTAGTGACATAGTAAGTCCAACGCCATTGTTAAGATATTTGATAAATATTTACCACAAAATTGATAACAAAAAGCCAAAATATCTGGCGCATATATAATTTTTAAGTTTAGTGTAGTTTATTCCTGAGTAAGATGTGATATTAAAATATTTTGTTCCCTTTACAAAACTAAAACGATTAAACTAGGAACAAGGTTAGAGAGAACTAGGAATAAGAACTAATTAAAAACAATTACTTCTAATAAGAACACTTAAGTATTAATATCTGCGGTAAGTGTAATGTGTTGAAAAAAGGTGGTAGTGCATTTAGGATGAAGTATTTTTTGTAAATAAATCTACCCCAAAATGGCTAGTTTCTTTGATCACGAAGATGAAAGCAGGTAAGACTAGAGTTAAAATGTATTTATGTCCTATTATTTAAAAGTTTTCTCTGGTCTTTTTAAAGCTGGTACTTTGGTGCCATAAGTCGACAAGAAGCGCAAGAAGTTTTAATGGCAGAAAAGGAAGGGGGTGTTTTTCTTGTTCGCGACAGCGCCAGTTGTGTTGGAGATTATGTTTTGTGTGTCAAGTAAGCGCCTGTCTCAATATTTTCTTACTCTAATTAAGTCCGAATAATAAAATCAACATAAAAATTGTTATCACATTGGGGATATCATAAAAAAATATATCATTAATGCCACTTTTGCTGTCTTGAGATAATTTGTAATATCAGATAATAAGAATTTTTAATAAAATATTTGTTGTGATGCAAATAAGCAAATATTTGCGTATCCTAAAATAAATATAATTTATGGCTGGTTCTGCTTCATTTGGATTATCATCCAATAAATATTAAAATTATGAACTGTTGCTTAATATGGAATATTATAATTGAATTGAATGCTTGGCTGAATCCAATTAAAGTAATCTTGACAATAAAATATTATTTATTGTATTGAAATTAAGGAAGAAAGCAAAGAATATCACAACAGGTTCTACATTCAAAAATTCGATTTTACAGGGAAGACAGCAAAGTCAGTCATTATATTATCAATAAAATGCAACAGAATGATCAAACCAGATATCGCATTGGTGATCAGTTTTTTAAGAATCTACCAGATTTGTTGTCTTTCTACAAACTGCACTACCTGGATACCACACATTTAATTAGACCGGCAAGTAAAAAAATTGAAAGAGTTATAGCCAAATTTGATTTTGAAAGCAAGGTTTGTTACCACCTATATAGAAATTAATGATTATAATTCTCTCGCACATTTTAGGAGAAAGATGATTTAAGTTTTAAGAAAGGGGATATTTTAACAATCATATTTAAAGAAGAAGAACAGTGGTGGCGAGCTAAAGATAAAAATGGCAAAGAAGGATCAATACCTGTTCCCTATGTCCAAAGGGTAACTTTTTTATATTGTTTTTATTCTTGAAAATCTAATGTTTGGTTAAAATAACCAGATTGATGAAAGCCAGTCTCCAATAGAGCCCTCAAGACCTGGATCTGGGGGAGCACTAGGCGCAACCCCCGAAGCAACAAAAAGGAACCAAATGCAGGTTGGTAGTATTATAATGGGGAGAAAAAACATAATAAGGTTCATTGATATTAATTTTTCAGCGCAAACTTCCAGCAAAAGCGAGGGTGAAACAAGTAAGGGTACCAAATGCCTATGATGATACAGCTTTAAAATTAGAAATAGGAGATATAATTATTGTAACAAAGACTAACATAAATGGCCAATGGGAAGGAGAATTAAACGGAAAGATCGGATATTTTCCTTTCACTCATGTAGAATTTTTAGATGAAGAAAACGAAAGTTAGTTGTCATTTTCTTTTTAAAAAAATTTAAAACGATGTTATTGTATATGCCTAAAAATTAAAAAACTCCACTACTCACATATGTGTAAAAAATTGTATGTTCGCGGATTTAATGTGAATATGTGTTTTTTATTAATTACATATCATGTTTTAACTCTTTTTTTAAACATGTTTGTTAATTTAATACATACATAATAGAAGGTATACATATTTACTGCTTTATAAATATTTATATAATTAAATAATAATTTTATTGTGTATTATGTCGTCATATTGGGGGTTTTATTTATTACCATAACAACATTTTAAAATTCACGAAAATGTATTTAATTTAGTATAAAAATATAAAATAAATCCAAATACAATTCCTAAATTACTATTAATATAATAAATATCATTTGCTCCAGTCAAAAGTGCAGGACGGATAGATAACTGATGTATACTGGCACCTAGATGGAAAATAATTAGGGCCACAGCAGCTCAATGTTCGGTGACTGAAATTCCTTGAATATGTTATACTGCGAATGCACAACCAACCAACAATATATCTAAAATAAAATTGTTACAATAGGTTCACAGTTCCAAAAGTCAATTAATTGTCTTACATTATATGACATCCAGCACCATATTACCAATGTGTAAAAGACAGTCTCTATCTAAAATAGTTGACAAATTAAAACCTAGATCTTTGAAAAAAACATCCACAGGCTACTGTAATACTATTTACAAATCTTCTGGATTGACGTCTGACACTCAACTGAAGAGGTTAAGCTTGGAAGAAGCCAGCAGGATAATTGGCGAAACGTTAGCAAGTTCGATTCATCAACACCCGACGAATCCAGGAATCCAGAACATTAGTAAATAGTAAGAACTATCATCGCAAACCTACAAATTAAAAATACCCAAAGTGCTTACATAAATATAATAGCCTCCTAATAACCACAAGCCAAATATTAGCTGAAAAAATATGGCAAATCCGAAAAGTATCATCCACGGAAGCATCAATCCTCGAATCATGATACGCAATCCAATAACTAGAAGCACAGCTGAGGCAATTAACAAACAAAAGTAAAACAGTATAAAGCCTCCCACAACTTGCATCGCTGAAAGTCAAACCTTAATTGTTGAAACACTTACAAAATGTACTTACAGTATCGTATATCTGCTTCGAATAAGGGATTATACAATTGGGTAGAATCTCCACCAGTCATATCAAAAATGACGAAAGTCATTAGTACAATACTCATGGCAACTGTGTAAAATGCTATAGCTTTGCAGCCGGTCTTCAAGTTGTCTGTCCAAATACATGGGGCCCAACAAGCATCTAACATAACCATCTCTCCAGCCTATTATAAATTATTGACGCGTGCCTACACTTTTAATTACTAAGTGATAAAAAGGTCTTTTATAAACGGCACGCCCAAATGAGCTGTTTACATCACCACAAACACAACACTAACATTTACCATTTAAACTATTCCAAAATCGACAGACGACGCTTGAAGATGGTTAACAAGTGACGTAAGGAACAAAAAGTCAAGTACGTTCCGAACTTCATGGCCGCGTTCAATATCTGACGTCAAAGCCCAACTAATGAAGGGCTTGCGAAAAGTGGCGCGCTGAAAGGAAATGAGGGAAAGGAGAGAGAAATTCCTCCACAGAAAATAGCAAAAAAGAGCAGTAGGTACCAATATAAAATATTTAAGTCCTGGACAAAATTTAATGCGTGTCCTCAGACACATAATCTTTAAATTTGGGTTCCAAAAATGAAATAAAAAGAACTACGTGGGCGGGTCAAATTTTTAATCCAGGTCAAAACTGCGTCTGGTTCTTCAACCTGTTTCTGTTTGTATCCAAATTATTGGGATTCCTTTATCGATTTTACTTTAACGATCTCCTCAATTTAATTCAAATAATTTTATTAAAAAATAACAAAATATAGTTAAATCATAACGAATCGATCAATAATATAAAAATAAGCCACCTTACTTAAAGCGTGTAGCCGAGATTTGTGGCAAAGTTGTCCAGCAAGATGCGACGTTTTCTTTTTTTCTGGCAGTGTGTTATTATACGGTACCATATATACCTGCTGGTTCTTATTTTGCCGCAATTTTACAGTCAGTTTACCAACGGCGCTGACAGTGGATCGTTTGGGTTCCATTTGGTTCTCGCAAAACCAGTCCTGCCCTTCTTGCATATGAGTTCGGGTAAAATAAGAAATGCGCGGTAGTTGGTCATACGTCGCAAAATGAATGCAGGGTGAGTATTTTTTTTATTATCCGAAAATTATTTGGTGACATTATTTAGAGCGGAATCGTTAAAAAATAGTTAAAAATTGCAAAAACCGGTCGACAATGTAAAACGTTATTAGGGCACATGGCGACGAAATTCAGTACGCACGTACTTAAGTATAACATTTTTTAAACGTATACCGGGTGTATGTTGGGTTACTTTTTTTTTATTATTTTATCGCTGAGTTGAGTGTTTTATGAATGCTTCTGCGATTATTTAAAAATTTAAATAAACGCAAATTTTTAATCTTAATTTTTGAATTATTCGAAATAGTATTTATTACAGTATAATAATACTAAAAATGTCATAATATATTAATAATAATAGAATATTTAAAATATGGACAGCCAGAAAATATAAACTGACCAAAACTAAATTTGACACTGATAAATACATAGTAAAAAATTCTCCCCCTACAAAAACTAATATCAAAAAATTTATACCATGGCAAACCTCAACTAATTTAATTATTGATATTCCGAAAAAAATGACCCATCGATCGTTGGTGCGAAATACCAAAATTACAACAAAGCTCACCTAGGGAAATCTTTTAGGAATTTACGATTTCTGCAACTTCCATCCGAATTACCAATATTTAAATCATCGAAGTCAATGGTGCAAATTTTGTAAACCAATTTTTACTATTTGTTCATTAAAAAAACAAGCGAGAACGGGCAATGTACTATCCAATTAAAAAAATTGATAGCACTTCCGTTTAAGAAAAAATTTGAGGTGAAAGAATAAAACTATCAGAAAAATGCGCTACGAACACTGATAATAAAAAATAGGGCTGCTGGTGATTCGTGGAACATATTATTTATTATTATATGTATTATAAACTTATTATTTATAACATTACATGAATAATTTCAAAACGGCCGAGATTCCTCAACTGAAAATTTGCCACTGTAACAACTGATAGGGTAACTAGGCCAAATTTTCGAACATATCCACTATATATAGATCGGTCTCCTGATGTATGTTTATACCACGCTTTAATAAGCCCGTAAATATGTATAATTTGACATGTTATAACGGTATCGAATGTGGGTTTAAAAGAAAGAATGAAAAAAATAACGACGAGCTGCAATAGACGTCTTTCAACAATCTCCCGCCCTTCTTAGGACACGCATACGACTAAACTAGCGAAAAAAAAGCGAATCTGAAATTTTAGGCCTTTTGTTTTAATATTTCTCAATAGTTAATAATTAATGAAATGCAATTTCATGGATTCTCATGCAACTGTTTTATTAATTTATGTTATATTATCACTCGATTACTTTAATATTTATTTCAATGAACACGATAGATTAACTGAAGAAAAGACGATGTTTTAACTATGAAAATTCTATTTATGTATACAATTTCAATTATAATTTCTGGTTTCTTATATGAATTAATAAAATAACTTGAAATTGAAGCTAGTTTTGTACATTTGTTTGTTTATAATTAACGACAACAAATATTGTGTGACGACCCAATATTCCTAATGTATTCGCGAATTTAAACACACACATTATACACAAATAGAACGTGAAAATAAAACAGTACAAAACGTAGAGAGAATTGAATATTAATTCAGCAAAAAATTCCGTCCATTACAACTAAGCGTATGCTGGTCATAATGTCGCGTTAATAACAGAGGAATCGTGCGTGCCTTATTGTCTCAGTTATAATTTACCTGTTATTGAAAATGGATAATGACGCTCTTTATCTTTCACGCATCATGTTAAAAGTAATATTGAATTTACAAGTGTGACGAATTGACTATTATCAATATTTCAATAGGGTTTTACAAAGGATTCAACTGGTTTTACTTCTGACATCCTTTAGTCATTGCCACGAATCGACTCAATATCTCCAAAGCGCGGTCAGGAGTTTAAGAAATTTACGCAACATTCAAACACTTAGGAGAGCTGACGTTGCTGCCGTCAAAGCATCAGCACAAACTACTAACAGACGCAATCAGGTTGGTATGTGAAAGGAACTCGAAGCAAAATGCAATCCCAGTTCCAATGAAGGATGATAACAAATTTTTGTTTTTAGTACGGAGATGAGGTTCCACCCTTAACCCTTACCAAGGGCGAGTTAACTTCATTATACGAGACAGCAATGGCGAATGGCCACTCGGTTAAGTTAGATACGGGTGAAAATGGATATATCCACGCCGCTGTTCACCATTTAGACGAAGCCGGACACGAAACTCAACATGTTCCCTATGGCACTGATGATCATGACGATTCCGCCGGTTATTATTACTATTACTACCCCATCAAAAGTTTTCTAGACAAATTCACTTCGTCATACAACAATGATGCCAAACAGGTAACTATGGTATCAAATTTTCACCTTATTCTAAATAAATCCTAATACGTTTCATAGAACCATTATTATAAACCCACAAAACCGGATCAAAAAGAACATGCCCTTCCATACCAGTATCACTCGCATACGCATCAGGTATATCACAAGATGATGATAAATATGAATGACGCAAAGGGACTTCTTTTGCAGCATAACATCGCGATAAAAACAGAAACCGAAAAGCCTGTGAAAAAAATGGAGCCGTTGTTCATGGCAATTTCCGGATTTATTGGAATGGCGGTGATGCTGGTGATAACAATGGTGGTATTTCCAAAGCTGGGAATCAACCCGAAGATAGTAAACAGCACGAAAAAAAAGGAAAAACTCGAAGACTTCGCTAGACTGGCTTTGGACGCCATTGAAGGTCACTGTGCCGAAAGATTTGCTTGTGAACTGACGAAAACTGCTAGAACGTTCCACGTCGATGAAAATCGATTTTACAAGTAAAAACACGTAAGGGATAAGACGGTTTTGACATTTTTGAAAGTTTTTAGGCTGCTAAGACGTATGGCCCCAGGGACATTCGGCAGGTATTTGAATAATGCAGCTAAATATTCCAGCAAGCATTTGCAATGTACTGCGATTCCATGTACAAAGAAAAAGCCCAACCCAAATAATAACAAAAAAAATGTTAACCAGAAGAAAAAGGGAAACAACAACAATAATAAACAGACTAGACTTTAGTACCCCCACCAAAGCCATTAATCCAGAATATAATTTATTAACTTATTTATTTAAAATAAAACGATTTTTGTTTATTTTGTCGGTTTTTATATTATGAGACGAATGTTAGCAAAACAAACTAAAAATGAAAAACTGTATAAATAAATATTTCTTAATGCAAAAGTCGCATATACAATACAGTCTTAATTTTGATCAAATCTAAATAAGAACTTATATACACATAACAAACATATAGGATGACATACACGATAATCAAATATGTTTTTACAAAGTACATTTAAGCAACAAAGCACTACTAGGACAAGCATTTAAAAATTTGTCATTATTCGAATTTTCATCCATATTTGCAAATATTAAAATCGTCGAAACTATTGTGCATTGTACAAAAATCAGTCAATGGTTAGAAATTCCTATTAATTCGTGCTACGAGTATACAAAAATGGATGAAATTTTTAAAAGTAACTTTCCGAATTATATCAGTAAAAAATATAAAAATTTTATTATTGTGCAAAATTTACTGTTTAGGACTGGATTCGCCCGAATTCATAAAAAAATTTCGTCAAAAAATGAAAATTTAAAAACAAAAATGTGCCACTTCAAAGAGCTAACAATGTAATTGGCTTATAAAAAAAACAATTGTGGAGTTACTATAGTTAATATGACAATAATATCATTCCTCGAGAAAATAAACAACCCTATATTACATTGTGAATACATTGAAAAATTACAGTCAAATGCATTCTTTCAGATCACAAAAAGTTAATAATAATGACGATCATGATTATTTATTTTAAAAATGCTGTAAAACTCAAAAGAAAATTTGTTGAGCAAAACGTCGCCTGTCAATGAAATTAGACTGTTAGATTGACCCCTACGGAGTGCTTTGGTTTTCAAAACCATTACCATGGTTTCTACTAGATTATTTTAAACTATTTTAAAAAATTATGTGATATAAAAGTACAGTACATATAAAAATACCCAAACATTCTTTTTATCCATCAAAATGTTTTTTTTTTTGGAATGAATTACACCTTGTATGGCACAACCTCAATTTATGACTCGCAAAGACCATGTAACTCGGCGTAGTTTACTATAGCCCTATGAAGAAACTCATATTGTGCCTGAAATGAGCGTTGTATGTGGAAAATGCGAAAGAACATTACAAATAATATACTTACATATGAGTTAATTAGAGCCTGCCTTTGTGACCTTAACTTACGAGTTACTGTGAAAACATCGACCCTTCTTTCAGTTCGAAGTTGCTGAACTAATATGCTAAGCCCAACGAACATTGAACTCCTATCTGAACCCATATTACAATGTACCACCATTGAAGGCGTACATCCAGTTTTTATTATAGCTGTCTGGGAGAAATCCACTAACTCTATCAACCCGCGAGTGACCTCAGGTACCTTAAATATCATTTTTCAATTTTTTTCAAAAATTCTGTATCACGACTTACTTCGCCATCAACGGTCGGCCAACCGTGATACTGCAGATGAGTCACTTTGTGCTCTTCTCCGTCCCTACCCTTAACAAAGAACTCTCTCCGCGTGTAATAAGGGCAAGTTTCGGCTTGCACATATCTAACCATGATATGATCAAACGTAGCTTCGCAGCCCTCTTCAGGCCAATATCTAGCACACTTTGCTTCACCCAGTTCAGAGAGCATCACAATAACGCTAATTCCTTGCTCAGAAATCATCCTCCAGAAATCGTTGATGGTACATTCCATTGGGTCTTGGCTGATAATAAAAGATTCGCTATTATCATAGCCTTCGATGAATGATGCGTTTATATAAGTGGAATGTTCCTTCCCAGATAATGGCGTTAATATAACTCTATTTCTGTCATAGGGTATGACACAATCAGATCTATTTTTCTCTTTGTTTTCGTCTCCACTCGCAACTGAACACGATTTTCTATCTTCAAAAGCATTAACGATGTTTTCAAATTCTTCCTCTAATTTAGACCTATTTTTGTCTTTATCACATAACCGTAATCTGTCCACAGTGGTTTTTAAATCGGTAGCACTTATTTCTGTGTCTCCATATTGAGCCACTTCCATCAACGCTCTATATATGAATATATATTGTTTCTGGAAGGCAGAACATTGTACACAACATCCAAAAAAGGATTTTCAAAAAACTTACCAAAGACTGGACTAAGAAATTTCTTTGGTGACGCAAATCGCAGATAGTATTAAATATTGAGACCTGACCTTCTTCCCTCAGCTGTTGCAACAGACAGTCCAAAGCTACTAAGGTACCAGTTCTACCAACTCCAGCGCTGCAATGTACTAGTATGCAACCCTTTTCAATAGAATAGGCTTCGTTTACTCGTTTAATAAATTTGATTATCCCATTTGGGTGTTCTGGGGCCATAAAGTCTTTCCACACCAAATAGTGGTATTGAATAATACGCCTTTCTTCCATTTCCTTGCCATTGCCAATGCGCGTTATTTTTAAATCTCTAACGATATAGTCGGAATATCTGGTTTCTTGCAAATGTGCAACCGTTATCTTTCCAAATATCTTTTCGCCATCCATCTTGTCGGGCCAATATTTTGCGCACTTGGTCTTGCTGTATTCTTCTAAATTGGTCAGCATAAGAATCATTTCTAAATGCTGTTCCCAAATCATTCTCCAGAATTCGTTAACAGATGTATCCATTGGACCTTGTGCGCATATGAATTTTTTTCTTTCCTTGTAGCCCAAAACGTAATTAGCATTGATATAATCTGAACCGGCAATGCTATCAACTTGGGAGAGCTTTACTCGAGTTTGATCATACGCCTTTATATCAGGGTAACGATTTTTGTAAATATTTTCTTTACTGTCAGAGGCTCTAGTGGTTCTATCAGAGAACCTGTCAGGTAATAGTTCAAATTCTTGTTGAAACCCATAATCTGAATCACGATGATGCTCAATATAGGCAGAGACTAGTTCTGATTTACTAATAGGGGTCATATCCGGAGGATTTAAAGAAACTAACCTTTGGCGCCCTCTTAAATTTCTAAAAATATAATCAATGAAACAGAGCAAAGCTACATGATAATCTTAGGGATACCTTAAGGAGGTTCTAAAAGTGATCATCTCCAAAGGTTGGGCATGAGCCTGTTTTGTGTAACGGTGCAAAATACACAATACACCAAAAAGTACTAAAATAATAACCATGAGCCCACAAAGTATCTGAAATATGAGACTAAGAGTTTCTGCTGGAGGTGCTGCGAGCACCTCCGGACCGGGATTTATCATATCCAGGTAACTGCTATACCCTACTAAGTACTTTGGATTACCAGTGCCATGAACTATAAAGAATTAAGTTACTACTATTGTATCCAAGCTGTATTTGGGCAACGTACCGATTATTTCAACAAAACCAGTATAATTACTATTTATATCCAGCTTTCCATCGCAAGGAGGTAATGGATCACTCAGTACGTCATTCCTCCGAACCCTATTTGATATGCTACCAGCTGTTTTATTAAAAGGTTTCTCTCTTCGAGGGGTATTATAAGGACGCAACCCTATACATTTGTCACAATCTGTACTGGAGATATTGAAAACCTGTTCGTCCCCCAAGAAAATATCTGAATGAAATGTTTCACTAAAAAACGAGATGCGATGTCGACGCCGACAGTCTATCGTTCGGAACTTACCTAGTAAACATCTCAGCTACATAAGCTCCACCTGTAGGAGTCCTATGAGCTTCTTGATACGACATAATAGTTAAATCTTCAGGAACCGGCAAATCCGAAAGTTTTTGCTGAGCCACCATTCGCACCAAATATATTCTAAAGCAACATATAGGTCCGTTCCTTTCTGAGATTCTTGGTAGGAATAGCTTAATGATTTGATGTTCCTTTACTTTTTCCCAGTGAATTCCAGCTATTTTTTGTTTGTCAGGTAAATTAGGCGGCATTGTGCAAGACAAAACAACAGGCTGACCGTTTTTCCTGAGTCTGGTAACAGCAGAAATTTTAACTGTGTAGTTGGTGTTAGCAGATAAGTTATAAAAGCGACTGTACAATGATGTTTCTCTAGTACTCGTGACTTTGGAGCCCAGTGTCGTGTTTTGTAAAATACCGTGTTCATTTTTAAAAACAGCATGTCCTTGTAAATGAACGTTGTAAGATTGTACACTTCCATGAGGTTGGATGGGTGGTCCCCAAGAGACCAATACAAAATTTGTGTGACTTATGTTGTCAAATCTGCAGTCTATAGATGTGTTTGAAGGGGGACCAGAAATACCATCCATTGTGGTACCATTAACAATCTCCGACCACGGTCCACATTCCCGACTGTAATCGCTACAAGCAGCTACTTGGAAGCTGTAAGTTGTTGCGGAATTCAGTTCGGAAAACATATATAAGTATTCCTTTGCCGGCTGTATAGCTTCCAGTTTTTGTGAAGTGTTATAAGATCGAAGGATTAAATTGTAGTAATGAATATGGTCTCTGAATTTTTCAGGGGGCATGGTCCACTTAATTGTTATCGAACTGGATGTCACTCCAGTCACAGTTACTACTGGTATGAAAATCGGTTCTTCGTCCAGCATTTTAATCAAATTGCTAGTCGAGTAGTGACTCTCTCCTTGTGGATTCTTAGCACTGATTCTCACTGTGTATGAAGTGTCATTTTTCTCAACATTTAGCACCAAATAATTTTGACTACTATTTATATCTGATCGGTAATATAACCATTCCGTATCATCGGCTGACTTATACTGTATTATGTATTTTAATTCTTCTGGACTATTACCGTCATTCACAGTCCAGTTTAAGAAAATTTTATTTGTTCCTATTGGTTTAACGACATCGATAGTGACTTGAGGTTTATCTAGCACCAAAATTGCAGAAGAAGCGTTTGCAATAGTCGTTATAGTTCCCGCAATGCATGTATACGTCCCATTGTCTTTTTTGGTTACTTCTACGTTTAATGTAGAATTACAAAATGTCGAATTGATTGCTGATGTATTCCAAGAATCTGATTTTAATGCATTGCCATCTTTAAACCAGTTCACAAACTCAATGGGATATCCTTCTATTACACAGCTTAATTTTACAGTGTTGTGAATTTTAGTGTATACAGGCTGCGAAATTTTTACTATACGAACAGGCAACGTAATATTTAAGTTAATTTGAGATAAGTCTAGTTCGCTTTTGTTTGTATTCGCTGCGTGACATACATATTTACCCACATGGTTAAAATTGATATTCAAAATGTGCAATATAGAGAATTCAAATTTATTGCCGGATTCTTTATTTATATTTTCACTTTCCATTTCCAATTTAAATCTAAAATTCAGAAAAACGCGACAATAAAACAATCGGAAACCTAAAATCAAGTTAACTTTAATTATCCACAAACTTCTATAATTATATCTAGAATACTCTATTTAGTAAATTAAAATCTCAACGTTTCTACGGGAATGCAATGTGCCACGGTTTATGATGCACGGCAGAAAGAAACCGAAAAGTACCATTTACACTCGTAAATAAGTTAAGAAATATAGAGCAAAAATTCACATGGCAAAGACAACATCAAATTTTCAAATTACGATACACCGACATACAAGGCTTTCCAGAGATTATATTAACATGTACCTACAGAATTTTCTATTACCAAATATAACAAGCACGACTCCCAGATCAGACATGGAAAATATATCAAAATAAATAAGAACTAAAAGTTCAGATTTTCACGAAATTATATATTATGACATGACAATTGTTTCGACAACACCGTGTCTTTATTAATTATCTTTATCTTCAGTCAAGCTCTGAAGAAGCGAACAGGTTAATTTGCAAAACGTTAGCAAGTTCGACTCAACAAAAACCGACGCAGGAGGAATCCAGAAGTTTTATAAGAAGTAATTTCTATGAATTTTGAATATTTCTTCGTTTCTGCACATTGGCACCATGCATTTACTACTAGTTTTGTCCGGTAAACCACGCAAAGAATAATACGTAAAAGAGTTAAAATGCTACGCAACTTGTTTCACAGTTTGACATCTGATATTTGTCCGCTTTCTGTTTTTAACGAAAGATGGTGTGTTGGGGCATTTGAAAATGTTTGTTTTCATTTGATATTTTTTGAAAATTACTTTTAAAAAACAAGTAACTACGATACCTGTCTAATTGTCTACAATGTTATAGGCCATGCCTTCCAGGACTCTTGTTTTCAGGGAAGTCTATGCAAGTTTTTTTTTCAATGATTAATTTCTTTAAAAAATTTGACAAGTTTAAAAAATAAAAAATAAGATTTATTAACTATCGAAATATGTAGCTAAATATAGAAAATCCATAAACTGCAACCAGTTACATATGTAACAGTCAATACTAATTGGGATATCTCTACACATTTGCTATCATAATTTGCCAAAAGGTAAATGGGGAAGGGCAGATATTTTGTGTAGGTGGTTTTTTAATTGTTCAATTAATCAAAACTACCCAAAACATATTAACTCCTTTTTTCCTTGGTATTTAAGCTACAGTATTTTTATAAAATATGGTGTATAAACACCACACACAATCTTTTTAGTTCCAAGGACAGCAGTCCCCGTGTGAAGGGTAAGTGTACAAGAAATGATATAGCAAACTAACTAACTAAATGAGTGTATCGATAAGTGCAAAAGAAAAAAGTCAAGAAGATAAATATTAAAAATATTGAAGACGAAAATAAGTAGAAGCCAACACTGTGCTTAGATAATTAGATAATCTAATGTTATCTATGAGAGTTACCCAAAATGATCTTGTATCTATTCAATCCTGTACCTATATCTACTCCATTTTCTACTAAATATAAATACTAGACAATGTCTCCAAATTAAAGAAAATCTTGTATGATTGCACAGAATCATAACTAGAATTGAACAATCCCTACTATCCAATACTATATACCCATTTTCCAAAATCCTTTTTCATGGTTATACAGAAATTTATGGTTTTATAATTATCTAAAATATTACATGCAAAACTGACGATAAAAAGCAGGCAACATAGAAATTTGGAGAATTTGCAATTTTATTTTTGTCACTGATACATTTAGGTACCCAAGCACAGTAAACCAACACAAGTAAAATTATGTTGTTTATCAATAACAACACAAAACAATCGCTAGAAACAGTGTCAAAATTATTAGCAGTTGAAAATTGTGTGCTTGCTACTTAAATTTGATGCAGAAATTCATGTACATTGAAGGTTATACATATCTACATGCAAAATTAAATCTTACCCTTCTTGTTCTGAGACATTTTTGTCGTTAAATGTCCACCACATGTTACCAGACATCCATTTAGTTTTGCAAATAATAGTAACATTCTCACCAAGTGGTAACTGGGAAGGAACTTCATATTTCAGCACTTCGATGGTCATGTTTAATTCTTTATCATCTTGAGGAGGTTCGTCTTAAAACACACAACAGATGAAACTCTCGTGACTATTGAATTTTTCTTGGAAACATACCTATCGGGTTGCCATCAGCAAAGCGATACAAAATTAAATAAGGAACTATTATTGCTAGATAATGGGCTTGGCATACCATGGTGCTTAAGTACTATTCTAGATTGCACCACAGCCCCACAATACTTAAATGTTAGGTGTTAAGCACTAAGATTTGTTAGAATTAGATAACAAGCAACTTCATTTCTTATGTACTATCATAATTTTCATTGAACATTTTTTCCAAAACAAATCGCCGACTACTTTGTTGTGGAAACCATATTGGATTACGTTTGCGAATTTTTTTAACAGAGGGCGGCACTAATCAAGTCGGCGATCGAATTTTTCGCGAGGAGTGGGGCGGGGGTTACCACTATAAATATATTATCCCTTTCATCTATTATATAATTGGTATATTAAATGTAAACTAAAATTTACTGCTTTATACACTATCTTCTTTTCGCATTTAGCAGATTTTAATTGTACCACCACTTGGAGACATTTAGAATTACTTCGAATTCGCATTTCCCAGTGTATTAAAAATCAATTCTGATCTCAGATGTTACTTTCTTCATTGGATACGGTTATTTTCGCATGACATTATATTCATAGCGTTTAGGAATTGCCCAAATGTTGGTTGGAGTTATTACATTTTGCAATAAATAATTTATACAGAAGGAAAGGATACCCTGCATAAATAAGGGGGGGACGTCTAGCATGTGTTATAATTGATATAAAAATTTAGGTTTATTGACAAACTGAAAATATGATGCAGGTCAGGCCTGACAACATAGAACACGTATGTGTAATAAAACGAAAAATTTCTCTTACCAAAAAATGTTTTATTAATCAAGTACCACAATGTTCCATAATAAAATTGAATTTGTACAATTATATTCCCAAAATTTCCCCAAATACATAGATGTAAAAAAATCACTCCCCAAATTAGTTGTCGCTATGTTACAGACTAAGACTAAGTCTAGATTTTAAATATAATGCATAAATGCCAAATTTATTTTCAATGAGTTTCCTCAATCTAAACGTAAAAAATTCAATGCCAAAATAATAAATTCGATATGGTATATACTAGGACTAAATGTAGACTTACAAAATACACGTCGCCTGTATGGCATATTCTGCTATTGTAGGAAAATATAAAAATGGTATGAAAAAAAGTAAACAATCGCTGCACCCACAACCTAATTCACGTACAAAATCGATAGCTTTTTATACCACTTATGCAGTCCCTTTGCATTTTAGGTTATCTCATAATTAAAAATTGGACATGTGTAAATAAGTGAAATGTTACTATCGCGTTATGGCTGCAATTAACCAACTAACCAAAAAAATGGGGACAAATTGGTCTACTTGCTCCTGAAAATAAAAAATAGATAAAAAAGTAATACAAATAAGCAAAATATTTCACTTAATAATTAATCATTCTGTCATAGGCAAACGAAATTGATAATTCTTGGATACCAAATATCCCACTTCTCTGCATTTTACCTAACCTTACCAAAAAAATCAGCACTGCTTGGGGTACCTACTATGGCGTTCTAAATTAAATATTAAACAATAACTTATTTACAAACCAAGATGTAAAAAAAATTAAAGAACAAATTGCTCCAGAAACTCAAAAATTTAAAATTAAATGTCAATAGTAGAATTTTCATTTGATAACCTGCATCACAATATTTTATATTGCAAATTACATGGAAATTTATATATGTAAAAAAGTGAAATTATATACTATGGCATGGTAAATTGGATATTGAATAATAACTTGCTAAGGATGGATAATGCAAAAAAGTAATCAAAAGAGAAAAGGGGTGAATAACTCAGATGTGATGGTGCGGTGGTGCTTGCGGTGACGCAACGGCAGACGCTTGCGGTGAAGGAGGTGTGGGTGTGGTGCTTGGGCCAGTATCGCTAGAAGGAGCGCTATGACCAGACATTGCAGGTTGTTGGGCCGGCCACTGCCCCTGCTCCGCCTGTAATCTGAAATGGAACTGGTTTTTCTCAAACTTTAATCCAATATACCATTTTATCCCAACACCAAATGTATAAGAGAATATAAAAAAAATACTAAAACACAATATTTTACTCAAACACATGGGGCTGTACCTTTGATGAGCTTGTTGTCGTGCTCTAAACTCTGCGGCCTTCAGTTGCTCTAAGTGAAATTGCTGACGTTCAGTTATCAGCTGCTGCCTTTGATACTCCAACCCTTCGCGCTCCCTCTCCATAGTAGTTTCTAATTCCTCAAAGTGACGTAATTTAATTTCGAGCTTCTTCATTTGTGTTTCGACCAACAGAGCAACGAGAGACTTGATCTTCCTTTCCTCCACTGCCGCGAGATGTTTAGCTTTAACCGCGGCTGCCGCCAAAGCAGCTGCAGCTGCGCTCTGCATTTCACTATCTTTGACAACTTTCTCCGATTTTACTTCACTGGTATCCATTTTCTCTTCCTTTTCAACTTCTGGTTCAGATTTTACCTTTTCTTTGTCCTCCTGCTCATCTCCATTACGTTTTGGCTCTTCAGTCGATTTCTCATCATCTTTCTCTTCCTTCTTAACCTTGTCTTCCTCTTCTTTTTCAGGAGCGGTACCTGCTATGCCCGTTAACGCTAAATTCGCAGCTGGATCGTATTTTCCTTCAGCGGATGATGCTTCTACGTTCTTTAAATGCGCATCCATTACAGCGGCAGGTACTTCGTCTTTAATACTAGCAAATTCATTCATTGCCGATTTGGCAGCCGCCGCTGCAACCCTTGGATCTACTATGGAAGCCAGAAATGCAACAGTAGACATGATTGGATTACCGGCTTTGCTGAAGGGAATTGGTTGATATGCCAGAGGACCCAAAGCACCACCAGCTTCTGGGTCTTCTAAGTAAGGATCTTCTATGGGCAATCTGAGAAAGTGAAGTATACATTCATCCTGTGTTCTTGACCCCACGTGTTCACAGACCTTATTCCAATCGTCCTTGTACATTTCTAAACCTAATAAAAAGAATCATGGTTTTAAACACATTACATAGACCAGAAACACTTTGTGATTAAACTTTGTGGCCTCTACCAATAGGAAACCAATGTGTCCAACGATACGAATACCTAAGGCTCCTTTTTAAAATTCAATCAATCTATATTAATAGACGATAATTAAATCCAAATAAAGGCCCATTAGAATCTATTTAGGATGTTTCTCAACACACTAAATATTTTACAGTAGGCGCATGACGCACCTGTATTTACAACCCCCTTCTAAAAATTAATTTAAAATGAATAAAAAAAACAAATAAAAAAAAATACGTCAAAAAAACAAAATAAAAAATATTTGAACGAAAATATCTCAATAAAAAAAATCACTTTAATACAACTTTAAACCAAAACATGGAACAGAATTTCAAATAACACACATAACGTACAAAAAGCGTCCTACGCAAACAGAACTGACCAAAACAATAATCTGTGGCTGAGAACCCACTTTTGGGTCAGGAAATACACAGGGTGCGATTTAGAAAAAAGGGAGCAATTTTTACTTTCTCCCTATCAGATCATCTGTACCCCTCTAACAATTGTCATTCAAAAAAATGTGTGAAAAATAACAGTTTAGAGAAATTAAAAAAATGTTTATTTACAAAAGTTTGATCAAAAAAGCAAACTACTAGACTATTATTAATTAAACTATAATTAAAATAGTTAACTTGAGATTCTTCTGAAGATAAAATTGGAAAGAATTTAACTCACAAATAAGTCAATGGAGTTAGAAGATTATTGTTTCTTTATTAACCCAAAGTGTTTGTATAAAAAATATACAATAACCAATTTTTTTTTTGGTAGTAAATTGATCCCAAGCACCAAAGAAAAAAAACAAAAAAGTGTATCAAAAGTGTATTTCAGTGGATATGATATAAGACATATAAGAGGTACCTGGTGTTAAACAATTTGCCAAAAGTGCCAAAGAAAGAAAAGAGGGTGTTGTAAAAACGGCGCAATTTAAAAATTATATTTATTGCATAAAATTCCAAAAATTGATAAAAAAACCTATAACTTTGTTCAGATTTTCCTGGCTATAAATTTCTTGACTCCGGGTTTTCCAAGATACTGGACACAGTGATTAATAAACCAATATAGACCCACCACGAAAGTGCTACCTAATATGTCGTACCTTCTAACAAAAGTAAGGTTTCCTGTTCTGTCCAATCCCTCGTCAAAGATGCAGCATTTTTGTTACGAAGCACTGCAGGTTTCTTTGAATACTGATCCAGCTTTAATCCAAATGTAGATAAAGGTTCTGCAGGTTCGAGTTTCTTGATATCTTGGGTTTTATCTAAGTCCAATAGTGTCTTTGCAGCACTTGGCTGAGGCGTTTTAGGTGGATTTACTGGTTGCAAACCTGAAGGGGTGTCAGACAGAATATGAAAATGGGATGTAGGAGGAGGACCCATGGCAGAAGGTCTTGAATCTGTATCAACTTGATAATTTATCAAACCCCATTGTTCCAAAAAGGCATGTACCCTCATTATGGCACACACATCTCCAGCTAAATTTCTACGGCAAGCTGTGCTTGTGATGTACTCAGTGGGGTTCAGACGATAGGTATCCACCATAAAATTTCGATAGGCCAGATAAATTTCTGGTGTTTTTGACTTATTCCTTCCATTAAAGAACTCTGGCATTGCTCGTTTTTCGATTTCATGAATTGAGTTGTAGTCAAACCATGCAGAGTAAGAAGGAATTATAATGTGATGTGTCTGCTCTGTAACATTATCTTCTTGCCCATCATCTTGGGTGTTACTATCACTGGTTTTACCAGTTTGGGAGTTTTCTTCAGCTTTATCTTCTGGTTCCTCCAATTCTGTGATGGAACCACCTTTGAGTGGCTGCAACTCATGATCTTTCTTTGTTGCAGGAGGTTGAGTTGGTGTAGCTGAAGGCACCTCAACAACATTTGGTTCTGGAGTTGGATCTTCCATATCCTTGGTCAAATCTTCACTTTCTTCTTCTTTACTAGATTTTTTACCAACAGCGGGACTTCTACCGCTTTTCCTTTTGCCTACTTTTGATGGTGGGGAAGGAGACCTTTTTCTTTTACTTTCCCTCTTCTTTTTATTCCTCTCTTCTGATGGATTCATCAAATCTTCAACTGACATTAACCTAGGATGTATTTTCTTACGTCCTGCTTCATCTACTTCATAGTCTTCTTCAGACATCCACTCATTATATTGATCAGTATCGAAAATCCAAGAGTGGGTCACACGCCAGGGACTTGAATGAGGGCTAGATGCATCAACTGACATTCCATCCAACCCAACAGATTCTAAATTAACCCATGTATCGAATGAATCCGGAAAATAATACCAATGCATCATTACCATTTTATCCCTTTTAATTACAGGCCTTCCATACTCTTCAACAGGGGCATCTACACTATTATAGAGTATATGAGTACAGTTATCCTCTGTCTCTACCACTTGACCATTTCGCCTCCTAACAATATCTTTAATTTTCTGGTAAATGGCTTTATCTATATTGGGCTGTATGTAAACAACAGGAGGTATATGCAATTTATTTTGTATAAGCACTTTTTCCATTGCTTGGAACATTTCTAAAACTTTATCCAGTTTAGAAGTATTCTGAAAAAAGTAAGAAACACTTTTCTAAATAATATAAATATATTTTATTTCCAACCTTTCCAGAGGGAAGTTCAAATCTCCTCCATCCATGTTCACTTTTGAACCTGTATGCAACAAGGAGCATTTGGCATAAACCACCACCAGGCTTGAAATCTAAAAAATACTTTACCTAAAATTGGTTTTGTTAGTTTATTGTCCAGAAATGGAAATACGTTATATAGTTCTTACAGGTATTCTAGTCATAGGTGGCTTTTGAGCTTTTTTCCCCAAAAAGTCCTCTTGAAATTGTAAAAACTGTACTGTTGTTGACGATATCGTCTTATTTGTTATTGGCTCATTTTGTAAATACTATAAATAAATCAATCATCAAATAAAATTATATTGAACAAAAAAGGCAGCACGAAAATCTACATTCAAACTTTAATGTGGGTTCAGTGAGTTTTACCTTTTTGGCGTTTTTTTGAAGCCACTGTTTCACTCCTTCTAATGCAGTTAGAGTCTCAGGAGATTCAAAATATTTTGTATTTGGACCACCGTCCATTTTTGGACCGATGGACATCATTTTTCCGGTTCAACAAAACACACTAAACACTTTTTCCGCATACGTTGAATAAGGCTGCGCACTCACACTTTCACCACCAACCACCCCGATATTTATTAATATTATAAATATGTGGACATTTTTATTTATTAATTCTCATTTTCTTACGTATATCTCGCGTTTGACAAAGCCATAGATGCATTTGTTTGCCATGATGCCAACGTTTGCTGAACATCACACAAAATAACTATACATATTTGATCCTTAGCTACCTATTTTTTTTGAACAATGCTTTTGTATTATATGAATTTAAAAAAAAAAATTCAAAACATTTCCAGCTAACAAAAACTAACCGTAACGTGGTGTAAATTACTAGGGCGGCTTTGACGGCAGTTTAACTTGGCAACCTTGAAATATTCTACGTTTTTGATGGAGGCGTGTCAGCGTCGTTGTATACAGGCAACCAGATATACAAGCTCAGGAATGAATTAATTTAATTCATTCTTTACTCTGAAATAATACCTTAAATAAAATAAACGAAAATTACAAAAGTATTTAAAAAAAAACGGTACATGTTCTCCCGCAAACCATTGAATCAGTTTGCGTAACACCGAAAAACGAAGAAATGTCGATGGGTTACCGCAAATTGGAAAGTTCCTCCTTATTACTGCAGCACTTGCATTAATAAAGTCAAATTGGATTTACAGTGTGTAAAAATTAAATCGAAGGCAGATATTTCAATTAATTTATTAGAAAATGGAGTGCTGCAATGAGAATAACACTTCTTTTCATTTTACATTTATTTACGAAAAAAATATTAAATTCAATGAGAAATTTCATTTGCAAAAAACGTAAAAAAAACAGATCGAAAATCCTGGAGTATGTTAAATGAAATTTCAAAATATCAGTCTTGATTGATTGATTGATTTCATGTTAAAGCCAAATAAAACGTTACAATATTTAAATAAACAGTGAGAAAATAATAATGATTTTCAAATTATAATGGGACACAATTTTTGCTTTGGGTACGTAATTTTTCGACCGCTCTGTATATAATAAAGGAAAGAAAGGGGTTGGGAGATTTGAGAAAGTTCCGCGATTGATTTCCCTACACATGCGCTTCGTCAAAACGGAATATGTTATTCAGCAGCGCAACACAGCAAACGCTTTCACTGTCGAGTAAAGCAAACTGTGTATTTTGCGATAAAGTATTGTTTTTTAACTTATTAGACTTTCGATTATACATGTGACTAAAGAGAAGCAAAATAAAAAAAATGACGGACGAGTCTTTAAATGTGATGGGCAAAATCGGAATTTTGTGCACGGTCGTAGTTGGGTTTCAAATTTTGAAATTTTTGTTGGAAGTTATTTATTATCATTTCCTTGCTCCGGCATTAAAAATCAACGCCGTTAACATCAAGAAAACTGGAAAATGGGCCGGTAAGTAAAAATAACTTTCAAAATCAATACATTGAAAAATATTTTAAAATCGCATTCAACTAACGACTGACACGGCAATTTTTGTATTTACAACGAAAAAATGCATTCATTCATTAATTCCTATGGGTATATTGTTTGAAATTTAAATTCGCTGACTGCGTTATTGCGTGGTTTAGTGAACTCGGTGTTTAACCCTATGACATGTTTTTCTTTGCTTCGTTCACCAAAAATCGAATGCTGCGATATTACATTTATTTTATATTTAGTCAAAAGTTTGTCAGTTCAAAATAGCAAGCGACGTGTGGTTTCGTTATCAAAAACAAATAATTACGCGATATTGTTATCTGCGACATGCGACGCGATATTGCTTTTGGTATATAATTGACGGGGTTAAAATGGCTAACCTAAATGTATTATTCATGTCGTCCAAAGTCAAAATTTTAAATTTTCTACGTTGTCGCAAGGACGACTCCCATTATTTCTTTAAAAATAATAAAAACATTTTCCTCGAACCTCTAAGAATAAGATTGTTCTAATTGCAATTACAGATTGCAAGGTTAAACTGAGACCCATTTAATCAATTTTATGCATAATCTATCGGTTTACCGTTAATCGCGTGGATTTGAAAGGGATTTGACGCCGCAGTAATTGTATTTCTTTCGTTTTAGTTGTCACTGGTGCAACGGACGGCATCGGCAAAGCGTTCGCCCAAATACTAGCCCAAGAAGGGTTAAACGTCGTCTTAATTAGCAGAACGCAGGTCAAACTAGACGAAGTGGCTGATCTAATCGCGAAAAAATATAACGTCGAGACTAGAACGGTTGCGGTGGATTTCACTAAAACCGACGAGATTTACCACGTCATAGACAAACAAATCCACGATCTGGATATTGGTGTTCTTGTAAATAACGTCGGAATGAGTTATCCCTACCCGGAATATTTCTTAGACTTAAAAAATCGAGATGAAGTTTACGAAAATATTATCCGTTGCAACGTATTATCGGTAACAAACATGTGCAAAATTGTAATGCCGGGAATGACCGAGAGAAGACGTGGAGTCGTCATTAATATCGCTTCAACTGCTGCGTTGATACCGAGTCCTCTCTTAACCGTCTACGGCGCATCGAAATCTTACGTGGAAAAATTATCAGCCGATTTATCAACCGAATACTCCAAATACGGCATCACAGTGCAATGTCTACTTCCTGGTTACGTCGCAACCAATATGTCCAAGATAAAGTCTTCTACGTGGATGGCACCGTCCCCTATAAAATACGTCCAACACGCTCTTGCCACCTTGGGGATTAGAGAGAAAACCACGGGGTATTTTCCTCACACTTTACTCGTAGGCTTCGTTCGTTTTATAGATTCGTTGTCGCCCCATTTGTCGAGGTGGTTGATCGTAAGGACCATGACAAATATCCGAGCAAGAGCACTTAGAAGAATAAAATAGCGTTAAAGATTCATCGTTGTGTTGTTAAGTTTGCTGGTTGTCTATTGTTAATTGTTTTGTTTGAAATCCGGTGATTGCTTTAGTAAAACATGCGTTCAAAAATTTGTCTTTATTTATGCAAGAGTTTAAAAAGCTGCCAGTCCTGTAATGGCTCGTCCCAGAATAAGTGCGTGGACATCGTGAGTTCCTAGAAGAAACAATTCGAATTAAACGAGCGACTTATAACACTTTTTCGTTTACCCTCGTAAGTGTTGACCGCTTCCAAATTCATTACGTGTCTAATAATATGATATTCATCTTGAATGCCATTACCACCCAACATATCCCTAGCCTTCCTTGCTATTTCTAACGCTTTCCCAGCGTTATTGCGTTTTAATAATGATATCATTTCAGGAGTGTGCCTTCAAAATAACGAAAGAATTATATTGATAACAAACCATTTGGTACTCCCGAACGTACAGATTTTTGTCTTTTAAACGTCCCACATGGAGACAAGCGGTCAGGCCTAAACTAATTTCCGTAACCATATCGGCCAATTTTTTTTGCATCAGTTGAGTGGCTGCCAACGGCCTGTTGAATTGTTTTCTATCCAAAGCGTATTGCCGAGCGACTGTTAGACAATCTTCGGCAGCACCCAAACAACCCCAAGCAATACCGTAACGAGCGTTGTTTAAACAACCGAACGCGCCTTTAATGCCGACGACATTCGGTAGTAAATGATCTTCTGGTATTTCGACGTGATCCATCAGAATTAAACCGGTAGTTGACGCTCTTAAAGAAAATTTTCCGTTTATTTTTGGGGTGCTTAAACCTTTACCGTGATCTTTTCGATTTATTATGAACCCCCGTATTTTAGAGTCATCACACTTAGCCCATACGATTAATATGTCCGCCACTGGAGAATTCGTAATCCTGAAAAGTGTCGCGGTGCATAAAAAATTCTTGAAGGTTGATTTGAAAAAAAATTTTTACCACATTTTGCTTCCGTTAAGAATGTAGGATTTACCGTTTACATTATATTTAGCCCTAGTTTCCATATTTGAGATGTCACTCCCATAATTAGGCTCGGTCAAGCCAAAACAGCCAATCAATTCACCCGAAGCTACCGAAATAAGCAGCAAATTAAATTACTCAACAAACGATTGAATGACGTAACCAACCCATGCGTGGTAAATATTGCTGTTTTTGTTCTTCACTCCCGTACATGTAAATAGCTCCCATCGCGAGGGATGATTGAACACTTAGAGCTGACCTATAGGCACTATCGACTCTCTCTACTTCTCTAGTAAGAAGACCGTAGGCTACATTGGAGACTCCGGCGCATCCGTATTCTTTAATGGTACAACCCAGCGCACCCATTTCACCGAATTCGTACATAATGTTTCTGTCAAACGCTAAATAATTCAATAAAAAATCGAATAGGTCCAAAACTTACTTTCGTTTCTGTTAGCTTCGATTATCCTTGGTTTTAATTTTTCCTGACAATAAGATCGGAATTGGTCCCGTATCGATTTTTCATCTTCGTGGAGTTGAGATTCGAGATTTAACGGATCTTCCCAGTTAAATAATGCTGGAAAAAATTTAATTACGGCCCTGCCTTTTCCAAAATGTATGTGTTTTTCTGACCCGTAACGTTGACGTCAAGGTCGCGTATTTGTTACTTTTTAACATAAAAATCAACTAAATTTAAAGATTCTCACCTTTTTGTGGAATTTCATTTGACAAAAATCCTGCAGAACTGTTTAGGAAAATTTCACAGTATCTAATTATGTCGCAAAAATTACACACATAAGATAGGTAAAATTCAAAGGATACTTCGTGTCCCTATGGTGAAGTGATTCACCAATTTTATAATTTTTTTCGTACGTACTGTGTTGAGTGCCATTTCATACAAAACAATGTGACGAGCTAATAAGCAAATATTGTTACTAAATAATGTTTTCTTAATAACCACTATCTAAAGAAAATTCCAGGGTGGTATTAAGAACTATTTAAGGGCAATATAAATTTTGAACTGCACTAAATTTGGATACTCGTAGGCGTTGTTTAATGTTTAAAATATTTTTAAAACCCTAATGTTAAAAAGCTGTAGTATTTTTGCTCAAAAAATCATTAAAATGAGAACTATTCGTAAATAACAAAATTGAGAGTTGTGAACATGTTAGTCCACCATGCTTACATCTAGCCTGTCATCTATGCACCTAACCATTAAGTGTCAAGTGCTTATGTGGACAATAATACACATTTGAAATTTATTAAATTATGGCAGAAAAAAATTCTAAGGATAAGACTATTGCAGCTCAGTATGCCGAATTGAACAAATTTGGCCAAAACGGAGAATATGAAAGGGCTTTAAAAGCTGCTAATAAAAGTAAGAAGTCCCTATACATATGTTCAGTTTATTTTAGGAATTACTTTTAGTTCTAGGAATAGCTCCCCATGAATTTCTGGCCTTTAATTCAAAAATTGTGTGTCTAATTCATTTATCAAAGTTTGAAGATGCCATTTCGCAAATAAATAAAAATCCAGAGTACTTGCAGTAAGATGTATATATGGTTTAGTCATTTCTCGCATCAAAAGTGTTCCTTTCTTTTAGGGACTTGATATTTGAGAAAGCATATTGTTATTATCGTATTAACAAGCATGAAGAAGCACTAAAAACCATAGAGAAAAGTGAGAAGGAGCTTGATTATCGCATTAAAGAATTAAAGGCTCAGATATTGTATCGCTTGGAGCACTTTAATGAATCGAATGCTATGTATCAAGATGTTGTTAAAAACACTGATGATGATTATGAAGAAGAAAGGTTAACAAATTTATATGCCACCATGGTTTATATGAGCCCCAATATAATTGTAATGTAATTCTGGCTTTAATTGTGATGTTTACTCTAGAATTGTGCCTTTTAGGAAGGATATCTTGATGAGGTTAAGGAAGTACCATATGAGCTTTGTTACAACAAGGCATGCATGCTTATCGCTTTGGAAAATTATAATGAAGCCGAAAAGACACTCAAACAGTGTGAAAAATTGTGCAGGGAGAAACTGGAAGAGGATGAAGATACGGTAGAAGAAGACATTGATATCGAGCTGGCATTAATAAGGTGAGATATATTTTTAATCTAAGATTGATGGAGGTGGTGACATTATATAAACATTTTAGAATTCAATTGGGGTTTGTTTATCATAAACAAGGGCGGTTTAAGGAAGCACAACAACTTTATACATCAAATTTAAAATTGAAGTTAGAAGATATTGCCTTGATGGCTGTAGCTAGTAATAATGTTGTTTGTCTTAACAAAGACCAGAACTTGTTTGATTCCAAGAAAAAAATGAAAGTTGCGCTCGCAGATGCATTACTTTACAAACTACCATCAATGCAACGTAGATATATAGCACTGAATAATGCAATATTAAACTATTATATAAATCATACAGAACAATGTGAAAAAGTGTGTAAGACCATTGAAACTACTTGGCCCGAGCTTTTAACCCCAGTAACTTTAATCAGGGCCATGAATTTAGTGAAAGCTGAGAAACTGAATGAAGCAATTAATTTGCTTAAACAATATAAGACTACTGAACCACATGAAAGGCTTTATTTGAATTTGTGTATAGCTCAATTGCATTTAACAAATGGAAATAAGTTGGATGCTTGTAAAGTTCTAGAAAATCTTGGGGATGATAGTTATAAGCCTGGTATTGTGGGTGCTCTAACTACGCTATATCTTGGGGTAGGAGATGAGGCGACAGCTTTAAAAATGTTTGAGAAAGCTGTCGAATTCTATAAAAAAAATAAGGTAACACATTGTTTAAATAAAATAGGTGGTTTAATAAAATGTTTTGTAATTTAGTTTAATGCGGCAGATTTATCTAGTCTGTGGCGACAGGCAGCTGATTTCCACATACGCAACGGACATCCCCAGGTTGCAGCTAACAGCCTGGAGGAACTTTTAGCCAGTAACCAAAATGATCAGAAAATAATTGCTCAATTGGTTTTGGCTTGTGCTCAGGTTAATCACAGAATTTATGGTTTGTTTCTCTATTAACTACAATTATTGGTTGCAGTTTGACAAATCAAGAGCTTTGAAACTTAGCAAGCAACTACCATCTGTCAAAGAACTCTCCAAGGATATTGATTTTGAGAATATTCAAATTTTAGCACCAGTCAACACCAAGAAAAGTCCAGCCGCTAGAAGTGATTCTTTACCATGGTATTGCAAAAGTTTTCAAAATTTTTAATGTTTTTGTTTTTTGACTTTTTTCAGCACACCAAAATCTGAAGAAACGCGTAAGAAAAACAGAAAGCACAAGAAAAGGAAAGGAAAGTTGCCCAAAAATTATGATTCCAGCGTTAAGCCTGATCCTGAACGTTGGTTACCTAAATATGAGAGAACCGGTTATAGAAAGAAGCAATACAGGCGAACCAAAGATGTAGTTATCAAAGGTTCTCAAGGGACTTCTTCTTTACAAGCGGAACAATAGTGAGTTACAATTTTTATTTCTTTTATCTGTAAAGTCTATTTATATTTTTTCTATAGCGATTTTTCAAAGTATGTGGATGACTCATCAGAGGGTCAAACAACAACTGTAGATCCTTCGCCTAGAGTCCAAAGTAAGGGTCAGCATCAGAAAAAAGGGCAACAAAAAAAGAAAAGCAGGCGGCGTTAAAGTTTATATTATTATATATTTTTTATATTGTGGAATTGACACTATTGATATACATTAGTTATTAATAAAGCAATTTTTTGTTGCATAGTTAGGTGAATTTATTTGTTATCCACGTCCATTTTTATTGAGAGCCCTTATTAAATCAGGGATAAGTAAAAAATAATCACTAGAAAAGAGAATTTTTAAAAAGCTAAATGTTTTTTGTATTTCACGTTTTTTTTTCATTAGTTCATGTGTCTGAAGAAACAATGAAAAAATAATCTGTGCTAAATACTAAAGGGCAACTGAATACAAAAATAATTATTAATTCATAAAACTCAACTATAGCTACCTGCTTGCATACATGTGTCATGCACACATGTTTTCTTCTAGTGTCGTATTTGGCTTATAGGTAGCGCTGATATGCCCAAATAAAAATCATTACGACCTCATTGACGAGTGAAATACATGTTTTTACATTTAAAAATCGATTTAATCAGTGGTGTAGCCATCGGAAAACGGGGTTGGAGGGCAGTTGTTTAATAGAGAATTATAAATTATACTACAACATCCAAAACGTTTACTAAAGAGGATTTTATTATGAAGTAAAAATAACGGTCGGCAGAAATTGTTCGAAAATTGAACATCATTTATCATTTTAATTTTATTTTATTTCAATAAACTAAGAGGGAATAAAACGATGAAGCAAAATGGCACATATTTATCACACCAAGAATTGTTTAAAATAGAACCATTAATTTATATTACTTTCAAAACTTAAATTTAAAATTGTTCAGCTGCGTCGAAAGTGACGTGGAAATTTAAAATTTTACATGGAACGCCCTGTATATTTTAGCATTTTTGATTTCTGCAACTTATTTCGCTAATTATGTAATTAAATTGCAGGAGGCAGTTTGTAGCGAACTAACTAAGTAAAGTAAACAAAAATGTCTATTTCACAAAGTTGAAAATACATTTCTAACATTAGTTTCAGTAGAAAAATAAATAAAACGGTTGTGTGGAATTTCTATTCAAACTAATATACCGGGTGTATTTAATTTTTAAAATTTGATCACTTTGCTTGGAAAACTGAACATTCGGTATATATCCAAGTTATAACAGTTCTTTAAAAAAAATAATTTTACCGCGTGTGTACTTTTATTTTTCAGCAAGAAAGTAAATGTTAACATATTTATCATAATTCGTATATTATGTCTTGCTAAAGAGAAGTAATTTCTCGGTTCCCTTTAAAGCTGTAACGTGTTTTAGAAAACAGCAAGTCACCGTGTTTGTTCATTAATTCTGTTCCGTTGCTAGGGTTGAAAATACATTAGACTCAAGAAATATTGAAAAAGCAAAATTCACGAATTGTTTTGCTAATTATTTATCGCTCATTTTACGTGTCAAAATTTTTCATATCCAACAAAAACAAAAACAAACGAGCCCTTTTATGAATATTTAAAGTACAGTTAAACATTCAAAAAGCTAAATTTCATCTCCTCATCGCACTTGATTTAAGAGACATAGGTTTTTGTCTATTTGTTTCACTGCGATTTATATTAAAGAAAGTGCTCCTTACGCTGTTTATTTATTAGTTCCGTTTGCTTGACGTAGGGTTGAAACTGCATAAGACCTCAAAATCCGTTGATTAATGGCGGTTGTATTAAAAATACGTTTAAACATTCACGAAGCAATGAAAATCTCATCTTGATTTTGGTATACATTTTCTTTCTTGGTCGAAGAGAAATAATTTCTAATATTTAAAAAAAATGTCATTTTTCTTTATCAATCGTGTTCATCAAATCAGGCTTTGGGGATAAAAAGTTCGCTTCGAAATCCTCCTATATATAATATAAAATTTCCACCGACGAAAAGATTATTTGGTGCGAGCGCGGGCAAGCCATCGAAAATATTGGTCATATTTCGGTCAATCCCCGTCGCGTGAAAGGAAACGGATTACCCGGTCCTTCGCCCAAAGCAAAAGGCGGAAATATTCGGTACGAGCGAACGTCGGGTTCGAAGTACGTTGGTGTGGCTCCATCTTTCAGGAGATGATACAGGAATAGGGCCACAGCAGTATTTACAAATAGACGTGTTGTTAAAATATGTCGTCATCAGCTGTTCGATAAATTGCGCACGCAGACACGTCAGTAACGGAAAAGTGAGAAGGAAAGAGATTGTGCAGCAGGCAATCGTGGCAGCACTGCGCCGAAGCTCGTTGTAGTTGCTCGATGCTCGTTTAGTTCCCATTCCTTGGCTCGCTGATAGCAAGCTGGATCGTCGCAAATCGCCTACCCTCGGGTATCGTGGTCGGCCGGTTGGCTCTGACATCAAAACTAGTGACACCAACATGAAAGTGGGCTTGTTTCACTGACTAAGTGTTCATGTTCACGAGTGAATGTCTCATATATGACATAACTAAAAACACGGCGGCTGGCCTTCACGACAGTGACGTGCACTAATGGGGGAATTTAGTTTGAGTGGTAATACTAACATCGGTTTAAGTGCAGTGGAAATATCGGTGAACCCGCCCAAGACGAGCCAGAACACGATTTTCTACTCGTCTACCACACCTACGACTGCGAGCAGTAACGGCACCGAGCTGATAATCCAGGCGAAGAGTTACAGTGCTATAATGCAAGATGATTCCGCTGACAAAGCTGTGGCAGCTGTCAGCGGCCCGAATGGAGATGACTTGTCAATTACGGTGTCGTCAGTTGTTGGTTCAGCGATCACCACGACCGTTACGACGTCAGCTGATAAAAACGCGACGTCTTCGTTATCCGCCAAAGATAACGACGTATCTTCGAACACCAGCGTTAACGATATTTCGGAAAAACTCAACGAACAAGTAGTATCCGCGCCCAACAAATCGGTTTCCTCGCTTCCGCCGTTTTTTCATCCTGCCGAGCCCGCCACTCCAGCTGGAGCCTTATGGTCGACCGCGATCGAGGATGGTTTCGTGCCTAATTTGGCTGGAGTGAACGGGATGGGGTTCCAAAATTTCCCGTCGCCGAATCAACAACAACAGTTGTTCAGCAACAATCTCAGCCAAAATCAAGTTAATCAAACCCGGCGAGCTATAACTGCTAGCCACAACTTCCCACCGCAGATGGGCAGACAGCAGTCGCTATCAAATCATCCCCTATATGCTAAAGGTTACGGGTCGTGGAACAATCCGCCGCCTGGTCCACCCGGTCAAAGTTGGTCTCCAACCGCGAACACTACCGGTAACACATCTGCCTGGAATCGAGGAAGAAGTGTACCGAATTTAACGCCTCTTCAGCAAATGGGAGTTGGTATGGCCACCGGTCGCAAGCCAAGTCCCACTTTTAACCAGCAGCAGGTGATATCGCCTGTGAAATTCAGGAGGAGTACTTCTTATCCGGGGAAAGGGCCGTTTCCGCAACCCCCTACGTTCGAAATCACCAACATGGACGAAGCCAGAGAATTGCTACCTTTTCAGGTAATGTGTGGCACTTGAGCTTTAAGGCACTTTAGTCTGCGATTGCCACATGCAACGGTTGATGTTGACTCCATGTGCTCTATAATATATCCTAGTTAGTCGTTTTCGTTTTGTATTGTTTTTGCGCTGTTGCCATTTGCTTGCTGTACTCCACTACTTGCTCTTGTAACTTATCCATTATCATTTTTTTAGTCCTTGTAACCTTCTGTGATAATTTTGTGATACTTTATTTTATTTAATAAATTTAACCTTTGTGTTGTTTTTTTTGTTTTTGTATTTGCTGGGGTTTTGTGTTGCCGGTTTGTGTTTGTTGTTTAACAATTGTGTATATGCGCAAGGTAGATGATAAAATCATATTCAAACTAATGCTGGGTTAGTATCCGTCTTGATAACAGTACGCTTATCGATCTAGCGACCTGATTTTAAAAAGAATCTATTTAACTAAACGAATTCGTTTTTTTTTTTCATCAGTTAAATCGTTGTCTGGACTATTTTAAGATTTCAGCGACAGCATTACGTCTTAATGCGCATTTCGTATTATTAGATCTCGTTTTTCCAATATGCCAGTTTGTTTATATCGGGAAAAAGTAGAATATTGCTTAAATCGGTTCGAGTTATACCTGCCATTTTAATGTTTTAAAACTAATAGCTAGACACTCAGGTGAGCTTTAACCGATGCTGGAAATAGAAATGGCCCTGAAGCCGCATATAAATAAACATATATCTGCTCTTTAACTCCCAGGATCGGGCTAGTGTGGTATTTTTGCTGGAAAATTGTTTAAAAATAATTTAATACGCACCTCTTTAAACTTATCGTGACAAGTTCCGCGCAGTTTAACCACCAACCGAGATATCTCCGAAACCAATTAAGTTGTAAAATTTATTGGTTTCTTCCTGGAGTCGATCAAACGTTTTTGAGTGCAGCTTTATTATTTTCGAAAAAATCACCAAAAATGGTATAAATTTAATCTGGCCCGTTTACGTATAGTTTTTTGTCAAACGTTTGACGTTCGCTAATAAGAAAAAGTCAACTAATATAAGATTCAAACATTTCTTAATTGACCACGAGGCCAAAATCCATTAGTTGCGTTAATTACATTATCGGATATCTATTTTCTGATTTAAATTTCACACCAGTGTACAGTTTCCTAATTTCCAACGAATCGCAAAGTTAAATTTACATTCGGTATCTCGGGATATGCGTATTGATTTCCCAGGTCGGATGGCCGAGTTAGAAATCCTTAAGGAATTCAGTCAGGGTAAAATAAATCATTTCCTCATATTGCATGCGTTAGGCCTGGGTTTGCGGTTGTATTTTAATTGCAACTGATTTTGTAAAAAGTACGATTTTCAAAAAAAACTTTTGCGTTCTGCCTTTTGAGTTAGCTAATCTACAAAAATGCAATTAAACTGAAAATTTTGTGGGTTTTTAAAATACATACGGGCACAAAGTTCTGGTTCCGGACAAAAATAAATTATACATTTTGGCAGCAGCTTCATAAAATCGCGACTATTCGAATGTCCTCCGCTGGCTCATCCCACTATTGTTTAATTATAAACCATTTAGAAAAGCGTAAAACTTCACGAGTCCTGGTGATGTCATTATTTAAAGTTCAAAACTGTTTATCCGTACTAAATAACTTCAGAAATGCGCAGTCGGACGTCACAGATAGACAGCAGATATTATTATCCTTATTATTTGTTGTGTTATTTTCAGCAACCTCGTGTGGTTGAATGGCGTCGAAAAAATCCCACAATTTTTGGCTTTTGGACGAAGGTGTAGCAAAAGTATTAAAAATATCGAAAACGATTTTTTATATGTTCCCAGAAATGAAAACCGTAAGCGATAGATTTCGTCTTACTTTATGTTTCTTCAGCTTCCATTAATGTCAGATAAGGGCTTGTACAGTCGACTTATTGCCTGCTATATACAGTTCCGTAATGGTTTTGAGGCTTTGTTATATATAAAATATATCAAATAGATAATACCTACTTACATAAATTTTTCATAAAGCAAAAATGTTTAACTCGCTTATCCCATTTAAAGCCTCAAGCACGTACCACTCTGAATTTGCCAAATGAACGTTTCTATTTTCATATAAATATTGAGCAACATAAATTTTAGTTAATTAAAAATATATATTATAAATAAAAACGATTTTTCAGTACAATAAGATTATTTTGAGCAATTAAAAATGAAAACTATTACTAAAACATTATTTTCAGATCAATATTTTTCATTATGTGAAAATGTTAAAATACGTCAATGATAAGCTGCATTGCTGCAAATTCATTGTTAATGTGATTAATAAAAAACGCGTTGAATTGTTAAATTTAAAGTAGTCTAAAGGGGTTTAAATTTTGATTATGAAAACAAAATAAATAAGAACTAAAAGTTCAGATTTTCACGAAATTATATATTTTGACATGCCAATTGTTTGGACAACACCGTGTCTTCATCAAATGATAAAGACACGGTGTTATCGAAACAATTGTCATGTCATAATATATAATTTCGTGAAAATCTGAACTTTTAGTTCTTATTTATTTTGATAAATGGATTTTCATCAAGTAAAACCCACCTCAGTTCAATTATGGAAACAATTTAGCGTCCTCTATTAGAAAATGAACGTGGATATGAACATCGTTAATACGTGAACAAATTCTACTCTATAACTTGACGAAGTTATGGCAAAAGAGATAGATAATCACATTTGCCCCAGTTTGAGCTTCTAATTTCAACGTTAATCACAGGACTATAATTATAGAGGGTAATCATGTTCGAATCAGGCCTGATAGAGTCGACTCGGAACCAATCTCCTTTCGCATTAACAACGAAAACACAATAGCCGATATGTTGGCATTTTTTTCACGTGAAATTTTCAGGCTCTGTCCTTAGACATTAAGGTGTGGCCTTCTATATATGCCCCGTTCAAAATCTGTTACCAAACAAGGAAAGGGGCTGGACGCCCTAGTGCCACACTTTCTGCTAATATTTATTGCCTAATTACAAAATCTCGAGCCGTCCCATTATTTATCCGAGATGGCATTTGAATTATTTGAGGGTGTAAATGAGTTCACTTGTTTTCATTTTAGTTCGGATTAGTTTGTTCAATAATTTGTTTCCCATGTTGATGTATTTTTCAAGAATTTCCAATGAAAACGTAGTTTCTTAGCTTTTTGGTTAATGGCTTCCGACCTTTCGCTAAAATCTGCTGTATTGCGGTACGATAGATCGATCGTATTCTGGCTGCCAACTTTCGAGAAAATGTGTTAAGGCTCTATATAATATGAGTTTGGATAATTATGGATTAGCGTAAAAATTAAAAAACTAATATCTTTGTTTCAGGATCGTTGTGGTGTTGTGAGTGCAAATGGTAGTAGCCCTTTAGAAAATATGAGGGGTTTCGAACACTATTTGAATGACATTATGAGTCCACAGTCCAATTCGACTGATTTAAAAGGTAAGATTTCAGTAATGTGTCGTGGAAGTACATATTAAAATGCTGTGTGGATGATACGAGACTGCATTTTGGATAAAAACATATTGCCTAGTAAAATAAGATAACAGTAGTCAACTGCGTCATGGGTCTTGGGATAGGTATATAGCGATAAACGTATAGACACAAGGCGTTTAAATTTTTAATCATACACATTAACACTTATAACACTAGGTTTAAAATTCTTTTATCTATAGTACTGAAAAAATGTTAAAAAATGCGCATATAGTTGTCATGCAAACTTTTATATTTATATTTTATCGTCCAAAAACTAGCCGGCTTTAAATATATAAATAATGTATGTCGGATATATAACACAGAGCGTTTGCTCGATTGTTAAATTTCAATTTTCCATTGTTTGTTGAAGAGTTCGTCTGATAACATTTAAAAAGAATACCTATTTAGGTCAACTAAACATCATATATACAGGTTTATGGTTATGGTTATTAATTCAAAATGCGTGTACTAGTTAATAGGTATGCTTGAAAAACGTTCTACCCAAAACAAAATGTTGTCCTGAAGTTTGTAAATTGTAAACCATAGAGGGTGGTAGTACAGAAATGAATGATTGAATCAATAGCAGGTCAATTGCCAACTCGATATTATCATTTCACTCACAAAATGAATTTTTATGTTTTTAAAAAACAAAGCAATAAGTATATTGTAAAAACTTAAATTAATTATCAGATAGCTTAACCATTTAGGTGCTGTCACCTGTCTTACGATGGTCAAGCGGAAAATACATTAAAGCATTAATTTTAATTTAACTTATTAGGCGACTAAGTATTAGTATTATTCTGGAAGAGTTCTTGAAAATTAGAGTTCCAGTAACTTTGAAAATTTGACTATAACAATAAAATGTTTATAATTGTTTCTTTGGAATATAATCGAGCCACTCTAATCTTATCTAATCATTTATTTAATTAATAACCTGCAGAACATACGGGGCGCCAATTTATGAAATATTTACATTAAATATTCAACGTATAAAAAACTATAACTTCGTTCTCTTTATAAAAAAAAAAGTAATAGAAAAGGATAAACACACTTAATAATTAATTTTTGATAAGTACATACTTTGAAAAGGCTTAATAATCAACTAATTTCTTGACTTTTGTTTGCCACAGTTCATACATAAGTTCACTTCGTGTGTATTTATTTTTGGGATGCATAGGGTGATTCAAAACGAAAGGATAATCGAGGTACTGCTTTATAAATTTTAATCGCAAATATCTCGAAAACATTAAGAATTATAATATTGACCAAGCATATATTTTCTATCAGAAAGTCTGTTCTTTGGAGCTTTTATTTAATTTTGTCATATTTTTACAAATTAAAAAAATATTACCTGTTTTGTTAATGTAATTGACTACGCCTGATAAATGCTTACTAAACGTTAAGAAATATAACATTGAACAAGAACATATTTTCTATCAGAAAATCTGTTTTTTATTTAACTTTCTTATATTTTTACTATGTCTGATATTGAATTTTCAACGCTCACAATTATTTTAATTACAACAATTTTTAAATGTTTGTAAAAAAAAAACTTTCAGATCCTGTAAGGCGACGTGAGTTTCGCTTAATGGAAATATGATTACGTGTAGTATTTCAAATTTCTGGATTTTACTTTCATCACCCTGTAGATTAGAAATATTTTTAAAATTAAATCCGGCACACTTTGACGGAGAGTTATTTTTAACATTTCTTTCGTCTAGACGTTTAAAATGACATGGTAATTTCATTGCTCTATTAAAATGTATCAGATTGTAAACTCAATAACGAGAGACTAAGCTTTATGCTTTAGGCAGCTAGTTGTAAAATCAAATGGGCTTTAACATTACAATGCAATACAAATATTTTTTACTCGTTTAATCCCCGAAGCGTTTTCCAAGGCCAAATGCGTCGAATTTTGTTTATAAAAATTATTGGAAAATATCAGTAATTGAAACCGCTCAATTAAAATTGCCGCAATCGTTTTCATCTCATATTTAATTGCTAATGCTCAATTTATTACGTTTGCTTTCGCTGAGTTTAAATGCCAGTTTGCACTTTCTTTTTGTACAACTAAAATTTCGAAATCAATTGGGCAGAATATTTGCCAATGCTAATTTATTTGACGTTTCGTTTTTGTGTGTCCATTTTAATAAACTTGTCTTTGACCTATAAGGAATTTGATTTTCCGTTTATGTAAGCCTGCTGATTCGGTTCAAAAATTGAAACGATGAAAATTAAACATTTTTTTTGTTTATCGTGCTTCATAGATGATTGCATTGTGGTAATAAATGATCTGGTAAAGTGCTACGGCTTGTATAAATTTACGACGATTGTTTATATAACCTCAATGAGAGTGACCTATATTCTAATTCTAAAAAAAATAGATACTTTGATAAGTCAAACCGATCGATTTAACCGCCCACGTCCAAATAGTATTTAAGTATTCAGGGGTTATGAATTTCATATCCGAATGAGCGATATTTTTTAATTTACCCGTATCCACTCGAGTGTTTGATTTTCCAGTTTGTCCACCTGTCCAATTAATTAACAATACATCATCGCTTATATTTTAAATGAACAGTTGAATTAAATATTTTTAATTCAAAAACCGAACCAAATATCTTTATCGTTTCAAAAATTAGATTGTACATATTTTTTAAATCTGAACTTACGTTATCGCTAATAAAAATCCTCGTATTAGACAAACAACCATTGCTTCCAAAAAGTCAATGGAAATAATTTTAGTTTTAATTTAGTTACAATCTAATAAACCAATCTCTTTTTGAAATATATTTTTATTTACTTTAATTAAATATTTTATATGCGTAGTTTGATCAAATATCTCAAATATAGACATAGTTTAATTGTTTATTTAGAATTTATAGTTTAATTAAATATTTTTAACTTTGAACTAAGTACATTTAATTTACATTTTACATTTACAGACGATTCTAAAATTATATTTTCTAAATCTGAAATTACTCTGTCATTTTTTTTTTCAATACAAAACAATTTTAAGGGACCACAAATATGAATTAGATTCGCGTTTAATGAAATTAATTAATATCGATTCGATCAACGAAAGCTTCTGTATAAGAACAATTACAAAATCTGACGCAACAACCCCGCAAGGCATTCTTCCCACTTTAAAATCAATTCTCATCAGCTACGTTGCCGTATAAAGCCGAAAGTAGTTAAACCCTTAACTTGAAAGCTTCGTTACCATTAGACACATTTATCGTTAATATTTTCAGCTCTCATGCGTATTTATTAGACATGGATTTCCACTCTGAGAATAATGGCTCTTTAAAAAAAAAAGCTGAATATTGCTCTAAAAGTGTTTTGTTATTTAAAAATTAAGTCAAGAAAGAAGTAACGCATATATAATTTCGCGTTTCAATTTATTGGTATATTTGTTGGTGGCATTTAGAGTTATGTAACAAATTCTGTGGCGGAAAATGCATTTCTTGTTTGTTGTTAAACTGGGAATTTTTTTTTAATAGTAAAGGCGACATGATATGCCAGAGAAGATCGACAAATTGTTTTGATCATTCTAAAAACCGTTAAAATTTTAACATTGTTGCAAAGGGACTATGCGCGAATAAATAACCATATCAAATTTAACAATGAAAAAATTATTTACTCAGTATCTACAGTTACTTTCTATTTTATTTATTTATTATAATGATTAACGTCTAAAATGTGCGCTATCAAATATTTACTGTGCGAGATTCTTTGAGGACTACGATTTGACTTTTCAGAATTGTTTAAATAAAAAAAGTGCTTGTTTTTTATATGATAGTTTTTTTAACCTTCAACCAATTTACTTTTAATTAAACGTTAAATAACTTAACTTTGGTTTATTTTCCGCTCAATTATATTTTCTTCTATTATATTTGATTGCAAAATTCTACTGAAGTGTATGGATTAACAAGGGTAGGATGAGAAAAGCCCCATCTCAAAGCTAATTAAAAATACGTTGACTTATAACGATAAAGTTAAAAGTAATTTAGTTTCTGGGCTACTCTCATCTGCATGGCATTCCAAGACCAACATTTTCCATAAACTTTACGTGTTTTTTCCTGTGTGTTTATAAAGAAGAGTCGAGAAATTTGTTCCTAGCCAGAACTGGATCATTACTGATATACCCATGGGTTTTGCATAAGCGTATGGTAGCAGGAAAAATGGCTTAATGTATGCATGGGAAATAACTCTCTGTGATTTGCTTAATAGGTAGCAGGAAAACGTATTCATTCTTAGTTAATAAACTGCCATTAGTTAGCGCCCCCCTTTAAAGAAAAATAACTACAAAACTTGTGATTTAAGTGGTCCCTTTTACCCTTTCCTGCCGTGCATATCGCAGACATTCGCAAAGCTCGGGACCTCAGCTGTTTGATGCAGTATGCGAGTCTACGTCATGTGCGCGCGTATTCTGATTTCAGTATACCACGCGCAGCTTGATCTAGGCAACGTGACATCCGCTATAGAAATTATTCCCGCTTGGTTTTACGTTGTCACTCAGTTAAATATAATCGCTTGTAGCGTGGTGCTTGTATTATCGACCAAAGTGCGCGGGAAACTTTAGCCAAGGGTGCGCGATGTTTCGAGCGTACGGTACATCTCCAGTCGATACCACGAATTCGACTATTACTTGGGGATTGGGCAATTTCGGCTCGAGCAAAGGTCCGTTTAATCGGAAGGTATACTTGCCGATTTTTGGGACAAAAAAAAGTGTCGTGCGTCTGTGAAAAATTTAGTGCACACGCGCCCATTACTCCATTAAAAATTGCTCAGACGATCGACTATTGAAATGCGCAATTTTTTAATCAAACTTTTAAACTTAGCGAAGACGCTATGTTATTTCACACGAGTGCCAATTAGCGTCGAATTTTTGCATGATTTTTCCTAAACTATGGGGCTATGTCTAATGCAAGCTGACGCTAATAGACCAAATATTACAACTTTAT